AGGTGAAGAAAAGAAATGGTTTGAGGATGGGATCCAAGTAGTCCTGGCCGTCCTAAAAAGGCAGCTTATGCTGATTTTATAGGCCTAATCCAAAATCCACTAAAGTCAGTGGAAGTACTTCTGAACACCTTGCAGAGGTCATGAGTATCTCCAGGAACGGGGTAATTAAAAATCTGGAGGCCTACATTTCCAAAAGTGACTAGCAATTTTGATTCCTCAGTTCTTAGGTGCCCAACTTGAGACAATTTAAGGGAATCAAACACAAGTTATGGGGCTCAGTACAGGGGTAACTGGGTGAAATTTAAGGGCCTATGATATACAGGAGATCAGACTAGATGATCTAATGATCGCTTTTGGCCTTAAACTCTATGAATCAATAAAACTGAGGAAAATCAAAATGAAAGGGGCCTGACTTTGAGTGTGGGTGCTCTGTAGTTTTTGAAACCCAGATCTCTTTAAAACTGATTTATTAGATGAAATGTAGAAAAGATTGGGGGGTCATGGTGGATAATTAGCTGAACATGAGTTCCCAGTGTGATGTGGCCAAAAGTGTGAGGTGCTGATGTGATGCTTGGATGGATAAACAGGGGACTCTTGAGTAGAAGTAGAGAAGGTGTTTTACCTCTGTATTTGGCACTGATGTGACCACTGCCAGAAGCAAGAAAGATGTTAATAAATTGGAGAGGGTTCAGAGAGGAGCTATGAGAATGATTAAAAGATTAGAAAACATGCCTTATAATGATACACTTGAGAAGCTCAATCTATTTAGCTTAACAAAGAGAAGGTTAAAGTGTGACTTGATTACAGGCTATCATTACATATGTGGGGAACAAATATTTCATAATGGGCTCTTCAGCATAGCAAAGAAAAGTATAGCATGATCCAATGTCTGGAAGTTAAAGCTAGACAAAGTCAGACTACAAATAAGGTGTAATTTTTTAAAATTGTGAGTAATTAACCATTAGAACAATTTACCTTGGACTCTACGTATCTATAAATTTGGCACCCCAAAATTAAGGCACCTAGAATCAATAGTCACTTTAGAAATTTTAGGCTTACGGATTTTTTCCCCCTTTTCCATTATAATGTTTTAAAGATGAAATTCTGATCTTATTACAGTTTATAACAAAACTCCTATTGATTTCCATATGATCAAGATTTGGCCCTACAAGTAAGATGATATATGATATGTCCGGTTTCCTCAACTGATCTACAGAAAGATTTATGTTTACTCCAAATGTGCAATAAAAAATGGGCTCACACTATTTGATCACACCCAGATTTTTGCTCTTAACTTCATTAATGATGATTTGCTAAACAACAGTTTATTGTAATCACGTTCCACCCTCATTATGCTGTGTGGTTTGGAAACAGAAATATAATTAAGACCTCCTTTTAAATGATTTTCTTTTATGTCATTGCTTCTACAAATAAAAGCCTTTTAAGGGGTTCCAAGCTATATGTTTTTATCTCCAAACTCAGTACACTAGCCATGGATGAAGAATTATGGTCACACAGAAATAGCACCTACAGAATATAGAGATGCCATTGGGAAGCTAAGAAATTACATGGTTTTATTCAGTATTTATAATCTGCAGCATGCTCACCCTCATTATGGGCCGTATCCTGCAAACCCTTATTCATGTACATAACCATTACACATGCAGGTAGTTCCAGTAACGCCAAGAAGTTCAAGATTAGGCTTTCTGGTTTTGATAACTGTTAAAGAAAGTAAATCTCCAGCTGCTATGGGAGAGGAAATGTTAATGCTCTAGTTAACTGGGACAGCACCAGAATCTCTCAGACGCTGTAGTGGTCTGTGAAAAAACTTGATTAGTTTTCACGTATTCAAACATAGTGATATCAACAGTATATAAATCCCAGTGTAGAAGACTATCAGTTGGGTAAGAGGGACAAGCTAGGTGATTTCAGTGAACAGTAAACTCTTATTTCGGGTGGATTAGAAGATTGACTCTTCCAAATCAATTGGCTCTAACCTTGTGAACCAAGAAAGTTAAGTGAACTATGGGAAATCATGGGTCATCATGAGATGTTCACTATGCTCACTATATTACATAGCAGATTAATGGTGTTAAGTACTAATGTCCATACTTAATTATCTGATGACTTATGATGCCATGATCTCCATACTATCTGGATGCATTGCACATTTTAAAAGAACACTTTAATCTGTACTACCACGGAAGACTGCAGAAATAGCCATGATCCCTGGTAAGCAATCCAACCGACTTTAGGGAAACCAAGCGAGCCTTAGTCAAGCGACTGCTTAGCTAAAGGAATGGATCTTGCATACTGTCTTGAAAGTCGGTGAATTTAGGCTCTGGTGGAGGACAGCAGGAACAAGTTCCACAACTCAGGACCCTCTACCAACATCTTCCTCCCTCCAGTCTTCTGGAGTTTGATTCTAAGCATGATCAGCTACTGCCCCTCAGCTGATTTCAACCGTCATGAGCAACAGTTAGTAATATTTGCCCCCTTACTTCTCAAACCAAATCAAAATAGCAAACCCAAGCTGATTCATTTCAGTTACATGTTTTTAGTCCATGTTGTTCATGCTTCTCACGTAGCCTTCTTCTTAGGCTTGGAGTGGGATTTAGTATGCTTGTTTGTTTAGAAATATTTACTTGCTTTGGGATACTCTTGTTTGAACTTCACTTTTTCCCCTTACGTTATTTGATTATTAAAGTCTGACACTATCCCACAAAGCTTCTGGGGGGGTGCTGGACTGGAATTAAGAAACGTTCTGTCTTTACATTAAATATTAATGTTATGCTACCACCTTGTGGGCAAAATATAAATAACACTGAACTACTGTACACAGGTATACTGCAGTAAGGGTGGAAGTCACACCACCCAGGGAAAAAATGGCTGCATATGAGTGACCTAACTGGAAGTATATCAGAGACTGAATCCTCTCCTCTAACTAAGACAATACAGACTACCAGTGTGGCCAAACTCTGGTGTAGCCTATGGACTGTAAAAGCTGTTCCAGGCCACCCCCAAAGTCAGTGATCCTCAAACTTTTGTACTGGTGACGCCTTTCACATAGCAAGCCTTTGAGTGCGACCCCCTTATAAATTAAAAACACTTTTTATATATTTAACAACATTATAAATTCTGGTGGCAAAGCGGGGTTTAGGATGGAGGCTGACACTTAAAAACAACATAGTTTACAAAATATGGTTGAGAAAGTTTTTAATACTCTTGTTGTGCAAAAGAGAAAGTTGCTTAACTGTGTCATCTCAAGACATTCTTGAAACACAACACTGTTTAATTGCCACCTTAACTGATACTTGCTCTCTATGAGTTCGTTCGCTGTCTATTTCAGTGTATTTAAAGTGGGTCTATCCATAGCGCTTGATGAACCTCAATTAAATCCATGCAACTGAGTTATTATCTATTAATAAATAAAGGAACATGTCACTAAATGTTGTGATTTGACGTTACTGTAAATGACTTCTTTATGGAATTCTGATCCTGATTATGCACCACTGCAGTCAATGGGAATTTTTCTATTGACGCAGCACCACATGTGCTATAAATCAGTGTAACGTTACTAAAGTCAAAGGTCCCCACTGCTTTATGTCAGCTGAAGTGCTGGCCTCATGACTTCAGTGGTAGCAGGCTCAGGTCCTTTAATTTCCAGTGGTATCCCAAACTGATTTAAACCAGCTAGTTCAGCTTCAGTTTTAGCTTCTAAACTGGAAGAGCTTTTTCCTCACTTTACCTTGCCTGGTCTTTGCAGTCCTTTGTGGTATGTTACATGTGATGCGTGCTTCTACAATAACATCCCAATGAACAGTGCTGTAGAAGTGGGCTGCAGCAATGGAAGGGAGGGAGGGGCTTGTTTTGCTACTTAAAGGAGCACTTCCGACCACTTAGTTAAATGTATATTGTGAAAGTGTTTCCTCCTCTTTTATCCAAGAGTAATATAAATTTAATAGCAATATTGATCAGAAAACACCCACAGACACCAGCTGGGGACTGCTAATGCACATTGTGCTCCAGTCATCCCCTGCCCCACCCCCTTACCTGTGACATGCCCCTTGTGCTGGTAATGTGGTGAGGGAGGTGTATAGCTTGCCTCTATGCCTGCTGGGGACTCCCCCATGAATCCCCAGAAGGGGACTTAAGTGAAGTTTTCACTCCCTTTGTCCATCCTGAGTAGTGCAAGGCTACTGGACTGAGGGCTGAGAATCTGGCCCTTTATCTTTGCTTCCTGTCTTAACTTGCTGTGTAGTGCTTCAGTTAGCTATTAAACAGTTATAAAGATTCACTCTTGAGGGGAATCTTGGAGGTGGCTGCATTTCAGTGGTGGGTTAAGTGACCCCTTTGTATGTGTATAGACATCCGTTCATTACTGGTTTTAGGATCCTTTGGGAATTTATCATGTGAGTTTGCTTCTTTCCTCCTGGGTCAGGGGAGTAGGGAGTGGGACTGTTGAGGATGTGATACTTTCTACTCATGGGGAAAGGGTCATAATTTTCTCCTGCACCTTGTTTGATTTTATTGGTCATGTCAGGATGGAGGTTCAGTCCATAACACATCTTCGCCCCAGTGTAAAGAATGAAGACGTCTCAGAGGGAAGTGGTTGAGAAATAGTGGTGTCCCACTGGACTGTGAGAGCTTTGCCTTGCAATGAAATACAGATCCTCAATGGAGGAAAGAGGAGGGTGAGGTGAGAAATGGGGAGAAACATGGCCCAGTTTCATGAAGACTTGAGGATACTTAGGACTCGTCTCCCTGCCTTGTCAAGTCCACAAAATCCTAAGAAGTGACCATGCTGGGAACTCCTTGTAAGTCCACAACGCAGCAATCAGGCACCTGGAGACTTCAGAGGGGTCAAAATGGGTAAGGGATGGAGTTGGCTAAGAGAAAAAAAAGTAATGCGTTCCCAAGAATTCTCCCACATATCACAGAAAAACACAATACAGATTTAATAAAATACACTGTTTTGTTTTACATGCAACCAATCTAGGAAAAATAAGTTTATCACGATAAGCAAAATATCCACCACAGGGAGTTCATCAGTAGTTCAGTTTCAAGTCACAAGACATGTTTTACTTGGCTTTCAAGTCACCCTATGAGAGATTAACATGAAACAACTCAAATGTGAACTATATATAGTTTTTTTCTGTTTGATTTGGTCTGCTGCTAGCCTCTGTCACCCTCATCTGGCATCGCCTTTTCATGGTTATTTTATGATGATGAAACAACAGCTATTGTAAGAGCAACGCAATTGGTCCACGTCATTTTGGGTCAAACCCTGCAGTTCTTGCTCTGTCCTTACACCAAATAAGGGTTAAAGAATTTAGTCCTTAAGGAAGTGTGATGACTGCTGCTTTTGGAACAGCCTTTGCTGGATCATATGAGACCCTGACCTAGGACTGCAGGTTTTGCCTCTTATGGAAAGAGCAATTTACCCCTGAAATCATGAGTCACATTAATCACTGTTGTAACTCCATAGGAGTTGATGAAGTTACACCAGGGATGAATCTGGCCAATTGCCATTAAGTCTGCAGTTTGTCAAAATAGTGTGTTGTTAAAAACACCAAAATCAGCTCAGGACTAGATTCTGCCACTGTTATTCCACTGCAATGAATGGCCTTATTCGAGAAGTAAGGCACTAATAAGCATGTGTAAGGGCAGGAGAAGCTGGCCCTAAGTTATTTCTTTTTCTCTCACTGCTCCAGGAACTGGAAAAGACAAGGGTGTGTGGGCGGCCCTGGAGTCCCTCCAAGGGAAGTGTGAGGCCTTGGACAAAACAAAGCCATTTCTTCCAAATATAGGTCTACTCTGAGCTCCAGCCAAACTCAAGACTAAAATCCAAATTCAGTCTCTCAGAGGGAATTCACGAACGAGACCCTATGGCCTGCAGAGTCCATCTATAGAAAATATTTTGATAGCTCTTCCTCTCTGGCATTATTCTCCACCTATTTTTTCTTGAGCACATGGTTCAAAGCAAAATAAGCAGCTTGATGAACATAATATTTGGTTTTTTTAAAAAAACTTGATTTATTCAAAAATGATTTATTATTAGTCATCAAACATTTTTGCCTTTGCCCCAATTGGCAAGAAGCAGACAGATATATTACTACAAGATGCAATAAAAAAAATGGCTCTAAAGAAAAATTGTGTGTGTGAGAGAGAAATACAGGAAAGTAAATCCATAGCAAACTTTGGGCCCCAGTGACTGGCACTAAATTATCTACCAGTATATGAAGGCTGTTAAATGAAGTGGCAGTCTCAAATAAATACCATGTACAAGTTCAAGGCCTGATCCTACAAACATTTTCTACAGGGCATATTGAGGGAACTATGCATGGTAACTCGTATTAGACGTCTTAGTAACTGTTTGCAGAACTGAGCTCCAAAAATTTATAGATGATGTTTTCAAGCAGTTATCAGCCCAGATAGTTTGAGGTCATTTAATTGGCAAACAAAAGTCGCGTGTCTGAAAGGTGGTGTCATTCAATGAGATAGTCCTAGAAAAGTGGCATGGGTTTCTATATATCAGTATAATGCAATAAAGGGTACAACAGTAGATAAATATACTCCACTCAATGCTAGCTTACATTGCCTATCAAAAGTAGAAGATTTTGTTGTTTGTCACTGAAACATACTATAACAAGTCATGAATGTGGCTAAGATTGTGTAGCTTGACCCACTGAGGTGATTAGACTGACTCAGCTACTCATGAGTTAGGCTTTTCCGACACACAGTTTCACCACTAGAAATCAGTAAGTTCTAGAGTTATTTGTACACATTTCAGCACAGCTAAGACGGGTTTTTAAGAAGGGTTTTGTTCAAGGGCAAAGCACAGGTTTTTCAGCTCCTCTTTCATTTGACTGAGCGTGTTCTTGACTTTCTGAGGTGTATTCAGAACCTCTATGCTGCAGGTGAATGGATCATAGTGAAGATAAAAAGGCTTCTTGATCTTCAGAGCATATTTTCTATTGGGGGGGTGGGGGTGGGGGAAAATATAAGAGATAGGTAAATGACATTTGAATCTGCAGACAAAATTCTAAATATAAAACCTATAAGGCCTTATTTACCACTATGTTACTCCTGTTTTACACCATCAATGAGCTGGAGCAAGGCAGAAGTGTAGCACACCCTTTCAATTTTCATTTATTTCTATTTAGAATAAGAGGTAACCATTCTGACACAGAAGTAAAACACTCACAGAGACACATGTTGTGGGCCCTCTTCCCTTATCTTTGAATGAAGGGACTATCAGTAGCAATCATTTATGTCAATGTTTCCATTTGGAATTTATATAATTGTACGGGGAGCTGGAAGCAATCCCTACATTTAGGTTACCTAACACTTTCCACCATGAAGGATTCTTGTGAAGCTTTTCTTTTTATTGAGAAGCTGCAAAACCTCCATTGCAGTCGGCTTTTGAAATTTGGCATGGATAAAGCCCTGAAGCCGGAAAATTGCCTTTTCATTGTTCCATGACATTCTCTTCAGGTTTAACTGAGATTTACACTTTTGAAAAATCACCATTTTTCTTCAGTCGGGTGAGTTGTCAGCAACATTTTGGCAGAGTGCGAAAATAACTGAACACTGTAACCTAAGGCGAGGCCTACATTGCTGCTACTCCGCAATAGCAGACTGTACACTGGGAGCCCTGGGAAAAGGCAGCCTCTCCAGGAGGTGGGGGAAAAGAGATTTGGATTGGGCTCACCTTTATAAATTCCCCACCCTGACCCAGCACATGGCCCCAGCAGCCTCTTCCCCACTACTACAACCAATAGCTGCCTTCTCCTACTGCCACTTATGTGCTGATGGTTCAGTGTTCAAACACTGCTGGGAGCAGGGGAAGGCATTGTTACACAATAGGATTTTTTTATTACCTTTTTTAAAATATCTAGGAAATTATCTCCCCCGCACACACTCTGATGAAGTGAGCTGTAGCTCACGAAAGCTTATGCTCAAATAAATTTGTTAGTCTCTAAGGTGCCACAAGTCCTCCTTTTCTTCTTGTTTTAAAAGAGCTACCAGCACTCCCAGCTATCTTCGAGATACCACTGACTTCCTGAGGAAACTACAATCCATTGGTGATCTTCCTGAAAACACCATCCTGGCCACTATGGATGTAGAAGCCCTCTACACCAACATTCCACACAAAGATGGACTACAAGCCGTCAAGAACACTATCCCCGATAATATCACGGCTAACCTGGTGGCTGAACTTTGTGACTGTGTCCTCACGCAAAACTATTTCACATTTGGGGACAATGTATACCTTCAAATCAGCAGCACTGCTATGGGTACCCGCATGGCCCCACAGTATGCCAACATTTTTATGGCTGACTTAGAACAACACTTCCTCAGCTCTCCTCCCCTAATGCCCCTACTCTACTTGTGCTATATTGATGACATCTTCATCATCTGGACCCATGGAAAAGAAGCCCTTGAGGAATTCCACCATGATTTCAACAATTTCCATCCCACCATCAACCTCAGCCTGGACCAGTCCACACAAGAGATCCACTTCCTGGACACTACAGTGCTAATAAGCTAATAAGCACATAAACACCACCCTATACCGGAAACCTACTGACTGCTATTCTTACCTACATGCCTCCAGCTTTCACCCTGACCACACCACATGATCCATCATCTACAGCCAAGCTCTATGTTACAGCTGCATTTGCTCCAACCCCTCAGACAGAGACAAACACCTACAAGATCTCTATCAAGCATTCTTACAACTACAGTACCCACCTGCTGAAGTGACGAAACAAATTGACAGAGCCAGAAGAGTACCCAGAAGTCACCTACTACAGGACAGGCCCAACAAAGATAATAACAGAAGGCCACTAGCCATCACCTTCAGCCCCCAACTAAAACCTCTCCAACGCATCATCAAGGATCTACAACCTATCCTGAAGGACGACCCATCACTCTCACAGATCTTGGGAGACAGACCAGTCCTTGCCTACAGACAGCCCCCCAACCTGAAGCAAATACTCACCAGCAACCACACACCACACAACAGAGCCACTAATCCAGGAACCTATCCTTGCAACAAAGCCCGTTGCCAACTGTCTCCACATATCTATTCAGGGGACACCATCATAGGGCCTAATCACATCAGCCACACTATCAGAGGCTCGTTCACCTGCACATCCACCAATGTGATATATGCCATCATGTGCCAGCAATGCCCCTCTGCCATATACATTGGTGAAACTGGACAGTCTCTACGTAAAAGAATAAATGGACACAAATCAGATGTCAAGAATTATAACATTCAAAAACCAGTCGGAGAACACTTCAATCTCTCTGGTCACTCGATTACAGACCTAAAGGTCGTAATATTACAACAAAAAGACTTCAAAAACAGACTCCAATGAGAGACTGCTGAATTGGAATTAATTTGCAAACTGGATACAATTAACTTAGGCTTGAATAGAGACTGGGATTGGATGTGTCATTACACAAAATAAAACTATTTCCCCATGTTTACCCCCCCCCCCCCACTGCTCCTCAGACGTTCCTGTTAACTGCTGGCAATGTTTCAGAGTAGCAGCCGTGTTAGTCTGTATTCGCAAAAAGAAAAGGAGTACTTGTGGCACCTTAGAGACGAACCAATTTATTTTAGCATAAGCTTTCGTGAGCTACAGCTTACTCACGAAAGCTTATGCTCAAATAAATTGGTTCGTCTCTAAGGTGCCACAAGTACTCCTTTTCTTTTTGCGAATACAGACTAACACGGCTGCTACTCTGAAACCTGTTACCTAGGTTGCACTCTGATGTTATGCCAGAACCTATGTTGACTGTGAATTTTAATTCTGTTCCCTTGTGCTTACATATTTGGGATAGAAGGATGGCCTTATGGTAAAGCCCCTTGACGGGGCTACAAGAGATCTAACTTTAATTCCTGATTGCCACAAACTTTCTGTGTGACTTTGGGAAAGTCATTTAATCTCTCTACCTTTCAGAAACAGAACCTACCTCAGAGAGATGTTGCGAGGACAAACGTGAGTAAGGCATCTTTTGGATGTTGGGTCTGGGGGCTGGATAGGTATGTAGATGGCGTCTTATTTGCAACTATTGCTTTTCAAAAGCAGTATTTACTTTTATTTATTAAACAAATGTGCAGATTGTGTGTGTTCTGAGTCAGCCATCATGTTTTATGGAATGAGGCTGGATCTATCTTGACACTGTGAAGGGAGCCCAGCTTCTAACCTTAGCTCAGCTGCCAGATTGGGCAGGGGTGTAGTAGTGCCTCCTATGACTTGGAGATTAGCATCTGGCCCAAGGTATTTGGCTCAATGAAAAGAATGGGCATTGGTGACATACTCACTGGAGTTTGGCCTTGGCATCTTCAAAATTTTCTGCGACAAAATAGACAGGTTGGAAGGTCTGATCCTGATATGGATGAACTGCAGTCAGTTCGGGATCAAACGGTTTGTGCTCAGGCTTATTTGATAACGCATACTTTAAAAACAAATAACACAAAAGGTTAGAATTTGTGCATAAAGACTTAACAAAATAAAGATCCATTGTACTGATTAAGATTCTAAGGTGCATTTGGGACAGGGCAAGATAAATTACGATTAGGATTCTACATTTACAGTTTAAAGTTTATTTTCATAACTTTTCACTAACACAACACACATGGAAAAGAAGATGTTTCATCCATTGCAACAATCCAGGGTGGGCATATCATAGCCCTTTTCTAGAATCAAATTCAGGGTGTGACACTAATTAAACATTTATTCTGAAAGGTTAATAAAGAAGGCAAATGCAATTCATAGATATAAATACCAGGTAGGGAGTTGACAGAAAAAATGTCATAACAATAATCCCTTTTACCAAGGTGGGTAAGGATGGCAGGATCTGGCTCTCTAGCATTCAGAGATTGATGGTATCTCTGATTTTGAGCTAACCATCTAGTTTTGAATCACTTGCCTCTTATCAGATAATGATTTGAAATTTATTTCTAAATACGAGAGTTGGATGAAGGCTTTGACTATGCAGGTCTCTCCCAAGCAAATGAGCTGTGGGTGAAGCTCCTGGTTTCAGTAACACAGCTGTCCCTTCACCCCACAATCCTCTTTAGTTTTATTTTAAAAGTCCCATCAACTTATTTAATTAGCAATAAATTATGCAACAAGCTCATGGAGATGAAAGAAACAAAGCTCTATTAAACATATTGAGAGGCCATCTTTACGTTCTGAGGCATGACTTGTTTGTCTTCAAGCCACGCCCAGGAACAATCCTCATGCCTGCATTCCTGAGCCTCTAGTCTCACACCAGTGTATGGTCTTCCTGACATCTTATCCTCTTTCTCCAGTTCCACTTAGCCTGTTGCACAACCAACCTGTAGCAAAGAGGTGTGGCCATCCTTGGAGATTGACAGCAAGGGACAGCCAGATGCCCCCTAGTGGGCAGAACCAGGAAAGCCACACTCACCACACCAGAAGCAGAGGGGTGGGAGAGGAACAGGAAGTATAAAAGGTGGACCCTGTAGCTCAGTTGGGTTGCAGCCACAAAGGGAGATTAACATGTTCTCCCCACTGCTGATGCAGGAGACCGCAGAAGACTTCTTTTGCTTTGAGGACTCTCCCGAGCTACCCCCAGCTGATACTGAGAAGCTGCTGGGCTTGCCACTGGCAGTGTACCCTGGGGAGACGGAGGATGACCCCAGGGTTCAGGTAGTAGCCCAGGAGCAGTCGACTACTATCTGGCTATGTTGCTGGCTGACTCTAGGTCAGCATGTTGTGGCTGGATCACCCTGCCACTGTTAGGGCCCTGGGCTGGGACGTGGTGGAGTCAGGTGGGCCTGCGTCCCCTTACTCCCACCATCTCACCCCTGGGGTGGCAGCCTTCCCATCATAGGCCAGGAGGCCTGTGTTGCTCTACCGTCCACTGAGCTAGGATGCTAGACTGTGTGGGGCTCACCCCCCTCCTGAGCCCTAGACTGTGTGGTGCCCCACCCTGCTTGAGGGCCTGGGCTCATAGACTATTCACAGCTCTGCCCTGCGTGAGGGTTTGAGATCTAGAGGCAGCTAAATTCTCCTTTGTATGACTGTCGTTCCAGGTGCGTGACAGCAAAGAGGTGTAGCCACCCTCTGAGATTGACAGTGAGGGACAGCCACACATGCCTACCCACTTACATAGCCATTTTATAAAGGATCAGAAATGTTTGGAGGTGTGTTTTACACTGCTGATTTCAGCCAGTATTGCTATAGGAAGTACCCAAATCCCATGAGAAAGGCTCTGTGTGCTCTGTTTCTGACTATGACTAGAAGCATCTAGAAACTTTCATTTAAAAAAAAAGCAGCTGAGAGTCTCGTTAATTCATATGCTGTGGCTTGAAGAACACCACCAAATATCATGACACTAGTGATAAAATTTCAAGAGGTAGTGATACTGTGTGAGATTTCCAGCCCAATGTGCTGACTTGAGAAAGTCAAACAAGTTCATTAAGTAAATTTTTAGAATCTTATCTGAACCAAACCAGAACTCTGAATATTTTGAGGTTCACCCTAACTTGTTCAGTAATGTAGCTTGCTGGGGGGAATGGTACAGAACTTGCCTAATTGTGTGGCCAAAAGAAATAAAAATAAAATGCAGACATAGCTATGGAGCTCAGGGGTAGTTATGCAGACTTAACCCCCATGTAGATGCAGCTAGGTAGACAGATGAATACCTCCATCGACTGAGGTACTGTTGCTTGGGGAGGTGAAGTTCCTACAGTGACGGAAAATACCCTTCCAGTGTGATAAGAAGCATCTGCACTACAGCAGCATAGTTATGGCACCATAACTGTGTTACTGTAGCACTTGTAATGTAGACATGGCCTGAGATACGTGTGTTAGTAATGGGCAATCAAAAGGCTGCATATAGATATTGCTAGCTTTGTGAAACAATGAGGACAGGTTTTAGAAATTCAAAAACAGTGGGAACACACTGTGCCATCAGTGTTTACACAGAACTCCCCACTGATTTTAGTGGGAAGTTCTGCTTAACCCGGATGGGCTGATATAACTCATAGAAGGTAAGGGCTCACTGTGCTACAAATGAAGCGTGTACAGTATTGAATTCTGCCGAACCAGTGTCTGGGCCTTTACAGTTTACTGTGTGTAGGAACAGAGCCCAGCCTGGATGTTTATTTTTTATCTTTTTTCTGGTGAGATTGCAAGTTTTGTTGATAAAGGGAATAGTGTTGATGTAATAGACTTAGACTTCTGTAAAGCATTTGCCTTGGTACTGCACAATATTTTGATTAAAAATTAGAAAGATATAATATTAACAATGCACACAAAAAAGCTGGCCAGCTGATAGGTCTCAACTGTAGGTCTGTCGGTCTGTAATTGTAAGTGGGGAATCATCTTTGAATAGAAATGTTTATAGTGGGGTCCAGCAGGGACTGGTTCTTGGTCCTTCGCTATGTAACATTTTTATTAATGATATGGAAGAAAACATAAAATCACTGATCAAGTTTGCAGATGACACAAAAATCGAGGAAGTGATAAATAAGAAAGAAGACATGTCCCTGCTACAGAGTGATCAAGATTGCTTGGTAAGCTGGACACAGGCAAACAATATGCATTTTAATATGGCTAAATGTAACTGTATATATCTAGGAACACAGAATGTAGGGCATACTTACACGATAGGAGATTCTATCCTGGAAAGCAGTGACTCTGAAAAAGATTTGGGAGTTGTGGTGCATAATCAGCAGAACATGAGCTCCCAGTGCGATTCTGTGGCCAAAAGGGGTAATGCAATTCTTGGATGCATAAATAAAGGAATATTGAGTTGGAGAAGAGGTTATTTTGCCTCTGTATTTGGCACTGGTCTAACCACTGCTGGAATACAGTGTCCAGTTCTGGTATCCACAATTCAGGAAGGATGTTGATAAAATGGAGAAGTTCAGAGAAGAGCCACAAGAATGATTAAAGGATTAGAAAATAGTGATAAGAGTCATGGAGCTCATTCTACTTAGCTTAATGAAGAGAAGGTTAAGGGGTGATTTGATTAGTCTGTGAGTACCTATATGGGGAACAAATATTTAATAATGGGCTCTTCAATTTAGAAGAGAAAGGTATAACATGATCCAATATCAGGAAGTTGAAGCTAGACAAATTCAGACTTAAAATAGGGCATAAACTTTTAAAAGTGAGAGTAATTAACCGTTGGAACAATTTACCGAGGGTCTTGGTGGATACTCAAATCAAAACTGGATGTTGTTCGAAAAGATATGCTCTTGGAATTATTAGTTCTATGGCCCGTGTTATACAGGAGGTGAGACTCACTATATGATCAAAATGGTCCATTTTGGCCTTGGAATCTATGAATTTTTGAACACAAGGACGAGGAGCACCTATATAATAAGATTCCATAAACGTCATTCTGAAGCCTAAAAAGTCTGAGTCTGTGTGAAGCAACAGAAGCAGCTACGAGCATGGCTGAGAGCTCTTTTTGTTCAGAATATCACCAGGTTGAGTCGTCACTGAGTTTCACAGTCTGTTACCATCCAATTTTTAAGTTTTAAGCCATTTTAACTTTATGAATTACACCCATGTTATACAGTTACAGTAAGGCATTTATCTATGCGATGAGATGAGCCCTAGGTCATTGTGATATCAGAGGTAACTCAACCAATCAGCACCAATACTCTACTGCTAATTTGCATGCAACATTTTCATTGGTTGTATGAGAGAGACTACACAGATGGTGGATTACTTGGTTCAGTTGCCACACCCATGCACCCAGCTACCAACCACATAAATCAACTCAAATCTCTCAGCACAACCTGCCACAAATCAACACAGACACCTACACAACCAACATACACAATAACCCTGAACACACATAGATCCTCATGGCAGTACATACCCTTCATTAGTCACCCAAGCAGATTATCACATCTCTCCCAGCACAACACAACCTAGCCCAAATCAACACAACCATGCAAATAACACCACAACCAGCACATACAATAACCCCAAACATCACTCAGAAGTCTAGATGATCTGTAGAGTCAATGTGAAGCAATGAGAACAGCTACAAACATGACAGAAAGCTCTTTTTGTTTAGAATATCACCACAATATTACACACATGACTTGATGAATTACAGCTGTCTCACAGCATGGGCTGTCAGCTACTAGTTTTACACAATGCTGAATGGCTGACAGTTATGGTATAGTGAACTTACAGTACAATACTGAAAGCTGATTTGTGATTATCCATACAGTTCGGGGAAGGCAAGTTTGGTTAGCAGACTCACCACAACTGCTACGCTTAGAGTCAGACATGGTTCTCTGGTCCCGTTCAACACCTACATGCAGCCACTAGGTCAGCTAGTCAGATAGCATGGACTCACATACAACAACATGCAGATGACACAGAACTCTAGCTATCCTTCACCACATAGGATCATACCACTACCATCAAGATGGCCCAGTGCTTGGATGAGATCAGCTCATGGAATAAGAACAATTGGCTGAAGCTGAACCTGAGCAAAGTTGAGGTGATGCTGGTGGGCAGAAGAAAACATTCGGAAGAGTGTACTGCTACAGTGAAGTCTCCATTAGATCCATTGATAACTGAATAATTCAATCCATAGTTTAGGAGGACTCTTGGATTCTTCACTGACACCAAGCTTTCATATAGCAGTATCCAGGAATAATGCTTTCTATCAGCTCTGATGGCTGAGAGACTCTGTCCCATCCTGGTGGACAGTGACCTGGACTCATTTATTCACACCTCATGTAAACTACAGCACTGTGATGTATCTGGACATGAAGCCTTCAGCACCTAGGAAGACCTAACTAGTTCAGTATGGCACAGCACCTCTCCTCCTGCAACATAGGCTACTGTGAGCACATCACATCTAGCTTCTGCTCTCCACACTAGTTTCCAATAGAATTTCAATTCAGGTACAAGGTCTCAGTCTGTACCTTTATGGCGCTCTGTAACCTGGGCCCAGGATACCTAAAAGGCCGCCTAGTACTCTGAGATATAAATCAGGGTCAATAACTCCGCTTCTTTGACACAACGGAACTCTCTACAATAAGGCAGAGGTGAAATTAAGCCGGTACGCTCCGGTGCGGTGTACCAGCAAGAGCCGGTGCACCATCCTGGACCAGCTTCGCCAGGTGGCAATTTAAAGGGCCTGGGGCTCCCAGCAGCAGCTGGAGCCCCTGGCCTTTTAAATTGCTGCCAGAGCCCCGTTGCCCCCGGGTAGCAGAGGTGGCCAGGACCCTTGGGGCTCCAGTGGCGATTTAATGGGCCCGGGGCGCCACTGCGGTAGCAGTGGCTGGGAGCTCCTGGCCCTTTAAATCACCGCCGGAGGCCCGCCACCGCTACCCCAAGGCTCTGGCAGTGGGGTTCTGGTGGTGATTTAAAGGGCCCAGGGCTCCGCTGCGGAAGTGGTGGCCGGAGCCCCAGGCCCCCTTTAAATGGTCCCCGAGCCCCGGGGCTCCCAGCCACCTCTGCAGCTGATAGCCCCGGCAGTGATTTAAAGGGCCTGGGGCTCCCAGCCGCCACTACCGCAGCCGGAGCCCAGGGCCCTTTAAATCTTGATTTAAAGGGCCCGGGGCTCTAAAGGCCATGCCCCTTCCAGTTGAGGCCATGCCCCCAGCTCAGGAGTCCGGCGTACTGGTAAGTCCTTTAAGTTACTTTCACCCCTGCAATAAGGGTAAAGATTGCTGGAGCTAGAACTTTCGCCGGGGCTGGTCTGAGACTGTGGAATGAATCCCTCCATGCCAGGTATTAAGGGCCATCACAAACCTCACCACCTTTTACCCCAAGAGCAAAGTGCATCCCTTTGACCTTGCCTTCTGTAACATAAGTACACAGCAACGTGTATATTTTAAAAAATATCCCCCGGGGATAGAGAATGAGAGAACACATGGGGATGTTAGTCGAGTTACTTAATGAGGTATTGGAAGGCATTCAGACTGCTGTGATGAGCACAGTATGGGAACCTTGATAATATGGAATAGAGTGGTTGATTTTAAAATGAAGTAGCAGCAGTTAGCAGGGAAGAGTTAAAACGTCTCCGACTGATTCTGCAGTTCTTAATGAGAAAATTAGGCAGCCCCAAGAGCAATACAAAGCACTTGCCTTCTACATTCAGTTAAACGGCAGATGTAACTTTAGCCTTTACAACCAAGGTCGTACACTCACTCAGTTTCTCTCACCACAGACCTAGCCTTAGGACTTGACTGGATTCCTCTATTGTGATTAATCACTTAAAGGAGATTTAAAGCTCTGTCAAAATCTCTAGAGGCCATGCTGAAAAACAACTAGTTAACCTTTACTGAGCTTCTGAACTTTAACCTAGGTGCCTCAAAACATATATATTTGGAGACATGAGCACCAGTATCCTTTATTACCCTGCTTAATGCTGAAATAAATTAGATTTAAAGCTATAAAGTATTCAGACAGATCTAGGGTGACCAGATGTTCCGATTTTATAGGGACAGTCCTGATATTTGAGGCTTTTTCTTATATAGAAGCCTATTACCTCCCACCCCCTGCCCTGATTTTGCTGTCTGGTCACCTAGATAGATAAGGGGATAAAACAAATGTTGATCCTTGCCTCATATTCAGTTTGGATAATGGATCTGACAGGTTTTAAAAGATAAATAAAATCCGCTATAACCTTATATTTGTTGACAGTGCATATGGTGAAGACAGAGGGACGTTTAAGAAAATATCAGTAGCCTGCAGACTTTATCCTAGAACAGGTATAAGTCTAAACCAACTGTATGGTAATTGAGCATAATTTGTGGAGATGGACGCTGATTTTTTGGTTCAACGTGAGAAAGTCCAGTATTATATATATATATAGGTGCTGTACCTCTATAATACAGGTTTTAAAAATGGTCATGCACAAGATCGCAATACCACATTGTAACAAAGACACACATACTTCTATACGGGTGTTAACGAGGGAAGCTTTCTCTGCATACCATAAAGGAAAGCTCTGCAAACTGTGCACCATTCAGTTTGGAAACTGAACCCTGCAGTTTGGTTTGCAGGAGTTAGGAGCACACCAATCCCAGAAGACTCACTGCCCTCTGTATGGGGAGATTTTGGCAAACCAGTAAAGTGCCTGAAACCACTATGGCTTGTTGCTAAAAGCAGCCAAGTCAGCAGACTGTAAAGTGGCCATGCAGCTTGACCAAGGCAGGAGGGGAGGGGGTTTTGGGTGCCACAGAAAGGGCAACTTGACTCCGTATCCTTCCTGATAAGATTTATGTTGAAGTTGCTGATACATGCATTTTCAAAGAGCAGGATGTTCCCCAGGAATGCCTACTGGGGCCTCAAGGCTCCAAACTCTGGAAAAACCCACACGTGGTTAATCAATAATCAGAAGGAACCTCTTGCTTGACCACTGAAACTGCTTATTTAACAAGTTTTCTTTAAGGGACATGTCATTCTATTACTAATGTATAAATAAGGGGGAAAAGTTTGAGGTAGTTGGACTCTTTTTGGCCTCTCCCTCTGGATACATCTTGCAGTCCCCACCGGCAGACGGAAGATTTGGCCACCGGAAGCCTGCCACTGTGTCACTCGAGAGCCACTCAGCTTCGGTAATTATCAAGGGTTGGGGGTGTTTTACTAACCTGTTGCGGATGTGTGTAAGTGCTTGAGACTAAGTAAAGTTTAGCTTTAATTGAAAGCACTCTTGTGTTGTCCTATTTGTGCCAGCCATCTATTGGTCGGACGGCCGTGTCTCCCCTGATTTATTTCCTGACACCACCTCGTACAGAGTAAAAGTTACCAAGAGCTTCGGGTTGAAAGAACCCCGGATAACACCCTCTAGTGAACAACAAGCAGCTACACTAGCTTAATGTCAGACAACCGTGCTTCTGTCTGCCAGGTTTTGATCTGCCAAGGCATCTGTGGTCATCTCTACCAAATTCAGGGTCCATTATGGTCAATTTCATGGCCATAGGATTTGAAAATTGGTAAATTTCATGTTTTCAGATGTCTAAACCCAAAATTTCATGATGTTGTAACCGTGGGGGTCCCAACCCAAAAGGGGATTGTGGGGGTGGGGGTTGCATCCCTGAACCAGTTTTGAACAGGACAGGGCAACTGTGTGGCTAATCTTTTTAAATAGTGTTTTTCTAATGACCTGCGATGCAGCTGCGGTTAACTTCAGACTGTCGCATATCCTTGACAAGTCCTCACTGACTTATTTTGACAGCAGGCTACCGGCTCTCTACCTGGTTACTGCTGATGCCATCAAAGAGCTGGGTACATTGTGCATATGCTGAGAGAGACCAAGCTTGTACTGGTGAAGGTACCATGAGGAGACAGTCTATTAGTTCACAAGTATGGTTAGTTTTCATGGCTATGTTGATTATTTAGTTGGAAGACAGACAAAGCTATAACTTTTCTATTCATATTTGTAATGTCTGTTGTAGGAGAGAAGGGAATATCTGAATTTCTCTAGGGTAGAAGGAGTAAGGTTCTAAATGTGATGATCAAGTGTTTTTTAAAATGATCCTCAGAATATTTTTATGTCAGAAAACATTCATTAACTTTCCCCACAAACGTTAGAAAATGGATCATAGGAATCCCTCAATAATAAATACATTTTACTTACCACAAGCTCCCCGTATGATGAAAGGAGTCCTGCCCCATAAGCTTTGATGGATCCATTTTGTTTGCAGAGACCAAACTCAATAGTAAACCAATAGAGCTGATAACCAAGAACAACTAATCAGTTTGTGAGAACCATAAACTAAACTCATAATCACCTCCCTTTTTGTTTCCTTGACTTGTTCCCTCTCTTTCTTTTGTTTCTTTTCTCCCTATTGCTTTTCTTAATTTCTGTTATCTTTAAGCATTAAGTTTGTATATTTTAAGAAAATATCCTTACATATTTATATATTTAAATTTTAAAGTAAATTATCCAAATCTACTGCCATTCTGCCCCTCCAAAAAGGAAACTCAATTTTAAAAAATGCTAACCACGTGGAGGAAACAAAAAAGTTTTGCCTGCTCCATTATCATTTGATTTGAAAGATGCTACAAATTGTATTGTGCCCTGTGAACTGTCAGTTACATTTTAGTCAATGGAGACGTAGAGATGTCTGTGGGGCCTCCACACAGGTGCAGCGAGCACCCGTATGTTCCACTGTGTAGGATCCGTGCCTGAGATTGTAACACAAGTTATCTACTACTTGAGCAAAGTGAAATAGGAAAGGTCCCCTCCCCTCCATTCTATGTATGGCACTATTAGCAGAAATTTGAAATGATCCATCCCTTAGCTTCAACATCCACTTTAAAATGAAGGCAATTCCATCTTTTATCGCATTACAACAGACAACAAGGACAAATATCTTTTGGCTGCCCTTGCAAATTGAAGTAGTTCCACATTAAGTGCTGGATTGTGACAGAGCCCTACAGACCTGCTCTGGAGAGTTGGGGAATTAGGACACTTTCCCCCTCCGCACCCCTGTTAACCCTTCCCACATTGCAGTTTCAGACATGGGGAAGCTGGGGGAAGGAGGAAGCAGGGCCTATACACTCAGTACTTTTCCCCAGCAGAAGGACAGGGAGGGGTAGAACCTATACCTGCTCCAAGAACAAGAGAGAAACAATAGGGAAGGAAGGAATCATATTCCCAATGTGGCTCCGTGTCACAATTCATCTCAGGCCTCCTTCTGGGGCATTCAGCTATGCACTGCCCCTTACACAGAGCTAAGCCCTAAGTTTCAATCAAACCCTAAGTGATTTGTTTACAACACTCCACTTAAAGAGTTGGTGATACCTCACAGAATAGTATGAGACTATTCTACCTATATATCTTGGTTTCTTTGATGTATAGCATCATAGTTCTCTGACTTGTTATTAGCAAGGACGTATACAATTAAAACAACCCAAAAGCCAAACAGTCAAACAAAGAAACAAACACCCAGGATTGTTGTTCCTTTGGGGTTTTCTCTTCTAACTACTTTACCCACATTTCAAATGATAATACTCCATTTGTGATGTTCTAATCATCTAGGTCCTTTTTATTTTCTAATGGGGATCTTTTCCAATTCCTCATCTTTTTAGTATAGGATCTCTTTGGTTGGATCCTGAGGGACAGGAAGGTGGAATGGGGTGCCCCATTCTTTCTGAAAGTACCCCATGTGTCACTTCTGTGATGCTAAGTGAGTGAGGATCTTGGATCTTGACACTCACAGCTATAGTGTGATACATGCTATGATGCCACCTGGGCAGTCAGTTGAAGCATGAATGCTGACACCTTTCAATCTGTCCTGCTCTCACACAGTTGTGTAGAACTGGACACATGTTCAATCTAAATATTAAGAACGGAATAGACGAAGGAATCAATGGTGGTTCAGCGTTAGATTTAGTAAAATCAATCTCATAACACTTAGCAGCACACTTTAATTACATTAACTAGCTCGTCCTCACAATGGTCCTATGATATAGGTATTAATACCCCTATTACAGGTGGAGAGACTGAAGCAGCCAACTAAATGAGTTAACCAAGATCACAGAGAGAGAGAGAGAGAGAAAGAGAGAGGGGGGGGAGGGAATGCAGATATTCCTGGCTCCCAAGACCTGTGCTCTGGCCACTAGACTTGAGAGGCATTAAGAACTAGATTGTGACAGCAGCACTCATGCATCAGCATGAGTCTGATTCCATAAGTGGTCTCACTGACTTCAGGAAACGTCTCATGGAGTAAGGTCAGCAGGAGGAGTCGGAATGTGTCTCTATGTGATTTGGTAATTTAGAGCCAGCTTGTGGACCCCATTCTTCCACTGATGAGCCAGGAATCTCAGGAGTTGTCCCATTGACGTTAATGGGACCACTTGGATGAGTCATACCAGGGGTTTGCAGTCTGACCCGTAGTTTGCATCACTTCGTTGGACAACCATAAAAAACTAAAGATAATTCATTTCCTCCCCCCCCCCCCCCGAGCTGAATTCCCAAGTACTGGCGCAGATGGGATCTAGGGACAACGTAGCTCTTTTCCTCCTGTTTTTGCTCACCCATGAAGAGTCTTTCTCACGTGTGCCGTAGACTCCTGAGGAGTTTGGACGGGGGGGAGTGTGACTCCTGCCATGGCATTTTATGGGATACCTGGGCTCCTGCCTTTCACAGTAGGTGCCACAGAAGTGTTAAAAGGTTCATGGGGAACTTTGCGCTCAATCTGCATCCTGGCACTCGTGGTTGAGCAAATCTTCTCCAATGGGTGACTGGAGAAAGGGAACATTAGACAGGCTCACAACCCCTGGGCTGTTACTGGCGACCCCCTCCTGGCCTGCAACAAAGAGACTGAGAACTGCAGGGTTTGCAAAGATATATGTGGGCTCATCAGGGAGGGGCTGCAGGAGCTGCTTGTATGTGGGGGGGCATTGGAAGGATTCCTTTGCCTCTGGCAGAGCTCTCCGTAGACGGATAATTCACCCCGACACAGCTGATTTACTCCTGGCACTCAAAAATCATCCTGATGAGCAAGCATGTACCTTTGGAATAGGCCAGGTTGCATGAAATGGTAGGTGTTCCCGAAAGCCTTTCACTCGGAGAATGACCCAGGGTACAGCTATACTGCAAAAATAGACCCACAGAAGCAAGTCTCAGAGCTTGGGTCAGCTGAGTCAGGCTCAGGGGGCTTGTGTGACTGGGCCAAAAATAGCAGTGAAGATGTTTGGGCTTGGGCTGGAGTCCAGGCTCTGAGACCCTCCCTCCTCACTGGGTTTCACAGCCCCAGCTTCAACCCGAGCCCAGACATCTACACTGCTATTTTTAACTCTGTAGCATGAGCCCTGTGAACCCAAGTTATTTGGCCCGGGCTCTGAGACTCGTTGCCATGGGTATTGTTTTGCAATAAAGATGTACCCCCAGGGTGTTTCATTAGGGGTCAGAACTCCATTCAAGTCAGTGGAGTTATCCCCATTTATACCAGCTTGCTCCAGGTCTTCACACCACCTCACTATCCTCAAATTACACAGGTCAGTGTGAGGTGACAGTATGTTATCATATCAATATACTCAGAGTTTGCAGGCTCAAATTGCAAACATCTCCGGCCAGTGTAATTTAAAATGTGTGTTCACTAAGTGGTGATTCTCATAACCAAGGAAGGAGGAAACTATTTGTGATTAAATAGGAGAGCGAGTTAATAGGATCCTCACACAGTCCCCTACCCATTCTCTCCCAGAGGTGCTGGAACTAGGGGTCCTGGGGGGGTGCGACAGCACCCCCTGGCTTGTAGTGGTTTCCATCATATCCAGGGTTTACAGTTCGGTTCAATGGCTCTCAGCCACCCCACTATACACATTGTTCCAGCACCCCTGTTCTCTCCACGGGAACTTGCACTCCTGGTGCACAGATTTGATCACAGGAGAGCAGGGGATACCTTTTGTGGGCTCTCTTAAAGTATTGTCCATCCCAGGGCTAAGTGATGTAGTGTATGATAGTCCAGTCTTCCTTACAGTGGTCATACACAACTTCCACAGGCTGACATTTAGGGCCGTTGGCTTTGGGGGCCAGTAACTATTTTTGGATGGCAAGAAGCCAGGCGATCACGTTGCGCTTTCTGTTCTGTGGGCCCTGCTCTACTCAGATTGCAGGACAGTTGTGAGCTGCTCGGACTGGGCAGCCTGGTAAAGTGAGGCCAGCTGTGAATTTGTATTGTGGTTTAGCCTTGGAGCTCGATTCTCCAATGACTGGGGCAGCTGGCTAGGGGGCAGCCACAAGAAAGACCTCGTGGAGCAGATCCTCAGCTGCTGAAAAGCTCCATTGACGTCAGTGGTGGTGATGTTGTCTTATTCCAGCTGAGGATCTGGTCATGTAAATGACGATAACTTCCACTGTCTGAAATGAACAGTGATGAAATAAAAACACCAGTTCTTATATCGCACTTTTCATCCATGGATTGCAAAGAACTTTAGGTAGTACATCAGTATCATTATCCCCTTTTCACAGAAGGGGAAACTGAAGTTCAGGGAGGTGAAGTGACTTGCCTGAGGTCACCCAGCGGCAGAGCCAGACTAGAACCCAGGTTTTTTTAGTCCTAGTATGGGTTCTATCTGCAAAGCCAGGCCGTCTACAGAGTAATAGCTACCCTGAGATTGCTTATGATAGTTCTAGTGTTTGCAACTGTAGTGACTATGTGGATCATCACAGCTAGTGGCTGGTTTATGCTCACACAAAAATAAACCCTTTTTCAACGCTGGTTTAGTTTAATAGTAGGATGCAGGTAATCTGACCTCGTAGCTGGTGTGACGTGAAGCTGGAAGTGACTGATGACTTTTCTGTGACTGAAACTGAATGAGGACCCTGATTCAGGAAGACATTCAGGTTCAGGAAAATAATTAAGCACTTGCTTAAAGTTACGCATGTGTTTATCTGCTTTCCTGAAGAAGGACGTATTTGAGCACATGCTTCTGCCCTTTCTTGATCTGGAGATTGTTCTGCCCTTTCTTGATCTGGAGATTCAGTTCAGAGGCAACATTTGTGATGCCTCCATTTTCGGTACCCAACTTGAGGCACCTGAAAGCGAACGCTCAGCATTTTTCTCAAAATCAGGGCCCTTGTATTTTCTCTCTGATGTTAAAGTATAATCTATACTTACTGTTGCCAGTTTTTCAATCTCAGCATCAGATGAGCCAAGAGAAGCCAGTCCAATAGCCTAAAGCAAGTAGACAATGTTATACTTGTGTTATTGTTTAGCCAACAGGAGAAAGACAGAGATAGAGGAGTACTATCTCATTTCTAACATGAAATAGTCATTGCTGTTTGTCAGCCGACGTGTCCTACAGGGGTTTCCAGGATACCTTTGTCTCTCTGGCCCCATCTACACAGCACAAGGAACCAGATTTGTTGATCCTTAAAACTGTTTAATCACATGTAGTTCTTGGCCTCATGTTGACCAGTTCTTAGCCTAGTTTTGACCCAAGGCATATGCCCTCTCGCCCCAAACAACAAAGAAATCTTGTTATGAGACCAAGGTTTATATGGCTGGATGACACCTCCGGCTTCTCCCATTACATGGCCTGGCAACATACAAATAGTCTCTTTCCCACCTGCCAGACCCCTTTCTAGCTCCTATGCCAGCTCCACTCACTGTCCTTGATGCCTATCTGCCAGCCTACCCACCTAGCCTTGTCTTTTCAATTGCTTCCCCCTTGCCCTCTCTGCCTCCCTATCTACATTTCTGGATTCCCTCATACTTTCATGTTTTCTGGTACTCTTCCTGCCTCCTTACTGTCTCCCCTATTCTTTCCTTCTCCTCTCTTCCTAACTGTTCCTCTTTCCCCCTCTGCTACCATGCCCATCCTGGAACTCTCCATCTTCAACCCTGACTGTACAGAAAAGAATTCAGAAGCAGGTTACAGGTGAGAATGAGTGAAGTGGTTTGGATAAAGAAAGAACCACCATCCTCAGCACCAGAAAAATAACCAGAAACTTGAATCAAACCTTATCTGAGATTGAAAAAGTTCACTCCTTCTGTCCTGTATCGATGACGTGACCCTGCAAACTCAACTGTGTTTTCTGACTAAAGGAGAGAGAGCGGCAGAAATGGCTCTCACTACAAAGAATCTGTGTGAGTAAGGAAGTAACATGCCTCATGCCAGGCATGCCGCACAGTCAGAACTCCAATGGGCAAGGAAGCTCCTCTGCTGCTTCTTTCATGTCAAATTTACATGCAGCCACTCGGTAAATGGGTCAGATGGTGTGGACCCAAGATCCAGCAATATGCAAATGAGACACAGCTCTACCTATCCTTCCCCACATATGTCATAAACATAAAGGGAAGGGTAAACATCTTTAAATCCCTCCTGGCCAGAGGAAAAACCCTTTCACCTGTAAAGGGTTAAGAAGCGAAGATAACCTCGCTGGCACCTGACCCAAATGACCAATGAGGAGACAAGATACTTTCAAAGCTGGAGGTGGTGGTGGTGGGGAACAAAGGGTCCTGTCTGTCTGTGTGATGCTTTTCCCGGGACCAGAGCAGGAATGCAGGTCAGAACTCCTGTAAAGAGTTAGTAAGCAATCTAGTTAGATATGCGTTAGATTCGGTTTTGTTTAAATGGCTGATAAAATAAGTTGTGCTGAATGAAATGTATATTCCTGTTTTTGTGTCTTTTTGTAACTTAAGGTTTTGTATAGAGGGATTCCCTATGTTCTGAATCTGATTACCCTGTAAGGTATCTACCATCCTGATTTTACAGAGGTGATTCTTTTTTACTTTTTCTTCTATTAAAATTCTTCTTTTAAGAAACTGAATGCTTTTTTCATTGTTCTTAAGATCCAAGGGTTTGGGTCTGTGTTCATCTATGCAAATTGGTGAGGATTTTTATCAAGCCTTCCCCGGAAAGAGGGTGTAGGGCTTGGGGGGATATTTGGGGTGGGAGGGAGGAGACGTTTCCAAGTGGGCACTTCCCCTGTTATTTTTATAGACACTTTGGTGGTGGCATCGTTTAACCTAAGCTGGTAAGAATAAGCTTAGGGGGTCTTTCATGAAGGTCCCCACATCTGTACCCTAGAGTTCACAGTGGGGAAGGAACCTTGACAACATATGACCACACTACTGCCATCAAGAGATCCCAGGGCTTGGATGAGCTCATCTCTTGGATGGAGAATAGCTGGTCGAAGCTGAACCTGAGCAAGATGAAGGTGATGTTTGTGGGCAGAGGAAAGTATTTTGAAGAGCTTATAGCTATGGTGCAGTCCCTGTTGGTGGGAAGATATACAGCCATAATTGGTCAATTCAGTTGTAGTCTAGGACTACTCTTGGATGCCTCACTGACACTGAGCTCTCGTATAGCAGCATCCATGAGGAATGCTTTCTATCAGCTCCACTTGGTTAGGAAACTCCATCCCATTCTAGTGAGCGAAGACCTGCTCTTAGTTATTCATGCCTTCGTCCCCTCTCAGCTGGACTACGGCACTGCGATATACCCGGCCATGAAGCCTTTCTATGTTTAAGAAGCTCCATCTAGTTTAGAATGTAGCAGCGCCTCTCCTCAGCAACGCAGGCTACCATGAGCACATTACACCTCTCCTTCCCTCTGTCAGGAATCAGGACAGCAGCATTGCCAGTATGGAGGCAGGGCCTGCAGCACAGCCAGTCTCTGGGCAACCTAACGAGCGCGGCTTGCCGGTAGTAGGCTGACTGACTACACTGCCCAACTGGTTTGCAGAGTCAGCGGGCCGGCTCTTAAGCCCAGCTGCAGCAGCAGTTCAATGGCGCTCAAAGCATTTGCCTTGCCCACGGCTGTCATAGCTCCTACTTGTCCCCAGCCCTGGTCCTGCCTTGACTCCAGCCTTGCCCATGCTTTTCCTCACTCCAGGTAATCCAGTTCTGACCCTTGACTCCAATTCCTGACCTCTGACTCCGGCTCTGACATTTGGCTCTGATCCCTGACCCTAGGCTCTGGCTACTGACTCTGGCTGCGACCCTTGGGTCTGGCCCTGGACTCTGATCCTTGGCAATAGACATCTGTTCTAATTACTAGACCTGACTCTTGCTCTGATCATTGGGCATGACTCCTGCTTTGACCACTGGCTATGTCCCTATCACATGACACCCTCTTTACATTAGGTTCCCATAGAATTTTGAATCAAATTTATGGTCTCAGTCCTTATCTTCAAGGTGCTCTGTGGCCTGGGCCCAGGATATGTAAGAGACCATCTAAAAGTCTGCGGGCAACAACTAGGCTCCTCTGGTGCAGTGGAATTCTGGACAATCAGTGTCAAGCTCATCTGTGCGGGAGACATCTTTCTCCAGGGCAATCCCAATCTGTGGAATCAACTCCCTCAAGAGCAAAGGATCATCACAAACCTCACTACTTTCCGATCCCAGGGCATGGTGCCTTTCTTTGTCCTGTCTTCTCGAACAAACATCGAGTAACAGGTGTATATATATATATATATATATATATATATATATATTTAAAGACATATGCTATCCAGAAAAGACACTCCACTACCCATGCATCTCCCTCTGGGGAGAGGAGGAGAGAAAAAACAACATATAACAGATGTGTAGTCACATGGCTTGCTGGAAGACTCTCAGATACTATAGTGGTGAACATGGGTATAAAAACGTGAATAGAATTGAATAGACCTTGGTAATAGGAGCATAATACACCTCCAGAATTGCATGAGACACAAGGTCCTTTATAGGTTTACCAGCCCAATGGAAATTTGAGCCTGTTAAAACTGCCATTAAAGACAATGGAAAGACTCCCATCAACTTCAGTGAGACCTCGATTGGGCCTATTGTCACTTCAAAAGAGCACTACTGAACTTTTCAGCAGCAGTGGTTGACTGCAAGAATCTGTCTCCTCCCTTGTATGCTCCCCATTAAGCTAATTGCATTATTTTTAATTCTCTGGAGCCTCCTTACAATTCAAGCCCTGGATACAGTGTCATAGTAACAGAAACAAAACAAGGGCATTTTTACCATTAATTTTCACATAGTGGATGAAATCAAGAAGAATTTCCATGACGGGAATTCAGCCATAAAAAACACTTGATGTCATTCACTTAAATTAGTGAGCAACAACAAAACCTGGTGGTTCTGAACTTACTAAAGGCCCCCATTTTTACATCTTTTAATGGTTTTTTATTTCTAGTATCAAGCAAAAGGGAGTGTTTCCCCTCCCCCCCCCCCGACCCCCACAGTGCAGGGCAATCACAGGGCATTAGAATATTATATGATCCACTGGTTCGAATATGGTAATGACCAAAACTCATGACCCGGTGATAGCTCCTGCATGTTCCCAGCCCTGGTCCTGCCTTGACTCCAGACTTGCCCAAGCCTTTCTTCACTCCAGGTAATCCGGTTCTGACCCTTGGCTCTGTTCTCTGACCCTAGGCTCCATGTCATGAAACCAACCGGTGGTCTCTTTCCAGAACTACTGGACAAGTGTCTACATCACAGAAACACTGGCACTTTTGTTGACCGTGTCAGTAGAGGAAAAAGACTGATGGGGCTAGTGCATGAGGAACCTTTTAATCCCTGAGAGCATCCCACCAGCTCAAGTTTGAGGCATGTTAACAATGCAGGGTAGGGGAAGTTTGTGCTGCTTTTTCCTGTGCTGTACCTGTTCTGTGTTTAATTAGAGAACAGACTGGCAATCCCTAGAGATTGCAGTTCCCTAATTAGCCACAGAACGCAGTTTTTCAGAAGCGCTAAATCCACTATGGGACAGATTCTGATACTCTTACATGGAGTAGCGGCTTACTCCACATGTAAGTACCATTTACTTTAAGGAGACTGCTCATGAAGTAAGGCTCTAATCAATATGAGTAATGGTGTCAGAATATGGCCATTTATAAACAAGATAAAACTCTACTGAATGCCACAGTGAAGGACATAATAGAAGTACCCTGTCAGATTGAAATCAAAATGCTGGGACAGGATCAGCCTAAATTATGATGGCTCCTGTCTGTGAAACCCAGAGATGTGAGTTCCCATGCAGTATGATGGGTACCTAAAAGAAGAGCCTATTCATTCTCAGGCAGGCAGTTCTTAGGGGGGTCTCATTGCAGTAATGGCTGTAAACTGAAGCTTCCCTCTTCTTATTTCTGCCTTGGTTCTTATCTCCCCTAGGTGACACTGCCTGCCTGTCCTCAGGTATATTTTCTCTAGGGTGTAGCTGGCACCCCCCAGTGCAGGAGAGTACAAGTAACACCATCACCTATACAGGCATAAATGGGGGAGAATCAAACCCTCAAAATTAAAATAGCAAATCACATCTAGTCCCTTGAATTCATTGCTACTGGAATTACAGACAAGGTTCCTTACCTGTGAGAACTGTGCAAATTCTTTGTCTGCCAACATGGGAACATGGCCCAACAATTCGTGGCAGCAGTCCCTGGAAAACAAATCACTTTTCTCATGTAATAAAGCTTGTTTTATGTGAAAGTCCACACACCCCCTCCCCCGCAGTACAATTCTAAGCGGAGCATATCAGCTGTTTCACTGCTATTCTTTCCCTCCCAAATCTTTGCACAGAAATTTCACACGGGCTAGATTCTCAACTGGCCTAATCCAGTGAAGCTCCATTGGGGACATGTATAAGAATACCACTGGAGTCAGATAGACACCAGCTGAGTATTTGGCTCTAGGTCTCTGCCTTCATTTTCTCCTATCCAGCTGTCTGTGCTCTTTCCAAGCCTCCTACCTGTCCAGCTCTGTGTTATCTTCCTACTCTTGTCTTTAAGCCTTCTTCCATGCTTTGACTTAGAACTCCCCAGATCCAGTAATTTGCTCAGATACCTCCTTCTTTACATGGACATCTCTCCCCAAAATTTACTTCTTCCATGCAGCCTTTCATTGATAACCTTGCCAAGCTCTGAACACACATCATGAAAACAGAATTCAAATGGCCACAGCTGCCATTGACTTCATTCATACCTGTGGGTGCTCAGCAGCTCCTCCAAAAACCAGGCCACAACTACAGCAAAGGCCAGTCTTTTATCCAGTGCCTCTTGTACATATAATCTGTGTATGAACTTGATTTCGAACTGTACACCATGAGCCCAACTGAGAAGTGGTGTGAATGCTGGTGTGGAAGAGGATGTGCAACTGGTGTGGGACTTGGAGAGGCAGAAGCGTGGACTCATAGCAAGCAAAGCAACCAAGAAGAGGATGTAAGATAAGGCAGGGCAGGCCCTGCTGTCCCACTTACTCAATGTATAAGTTATACTCACTTTCATCCACTCTTACCGATGTGTAACTTACCCCCTAATCTTCCTCCCCAATTATGTCAACTCTGAATTTGGTCCTTGAGGACTCATCTTCAAAGGTGCTTAGGAATGCAGTTCCCAGTAACTTCAGTGGGATTGATGGGTGTTCAAAATCAAGCCAAGAGGCTGTGTCTAATTTACATTGTATGCTTCTCATGGCTGGGATCACATTTCCTGTGTTGTGGATGCAGCCAAGCATCTTCTCAGAATTCAACAAATGGTCAACATAATAAGTATGAACAGATTAAACCAGCTGCTCCCCAGTCTTTTCCTTCTCCAGACATCTTTGCAAAAGAAACAGGCTCTCTCTCGTGGATCACTTCCACCTCTGCTTGCTTCTCAAATTATTTCATTCTGTGGCCCATGTTGTGGTAATTGAGTCTACAAATTTATCCTAATTGCGAGCTCAACTGTAAAAAGTGACTGAAAGGTCTTAAAAATGTCACAATAGCTGAAGATAACACATGTTGATGGGCAAAAGGTAACCAAAGTCCAACTCAGACTGTTGCATAAGCTTGTTTATAAAAATTAGCACAAGTGAAAAAAAACAGAACTGAATTAGTCCAAGCAAAAAGAGCATCCTGACAGAACTCAAGGACTATGTTAAAATCACGCCTGGTAAACAAGAAAGGCCTGGGACTGAAAATTCATGAATCAAAATTGGTGTTGGAAATTAGGCCTAATTTGTAGACCAAATAATGAGGGAGTGGGCTCATTCTGTCCATCACTCCCTTTTGGGCTCCTTAAAAAGACAGAGAGACAGACCCTGGGGGAAAAACTAATGGACTGCGACACTGGCTGATATAAGATGAGAGAAAAGGAAGGAACAAGGTTTGTCATCATGGCTGCCACCCCCACCAGCTCCTGGAACCTTGGGCCACTTTCATCCTTATCCTAAGAGGTGTCCTGACCAGACTGGGCCAGAGAGAAGGGGGCATACCTTATCCCCTCCTCCACTAGCTCTGGCTGAATCCCAAACACCACCTGCCATGTGAGACTTGGTTTCCCCTGCACACCCCCTTTGTTCTTTTCCTTCCCTACCTTATTTCTTCTCTTTCCTATCTCTCTCCTTTTTCCTTTTGTTTGAGAAGAATCTGTCTTAGCCAGGCAAGACTGCATTTTTTTTAAACACTGCTATAAGCCTGTGACCAGACAGGGAGATAAAAACAATGCTCTGAACAGCCTGGTGATGATATGAGTTTGTCAGGTCTCAGAGTTGCTGGTAAGACTGTGTGCTGTGCCTGTGTTTTTCCAGCAATGAGGTTGCAAGCGATAATCAACCTCAGAGACAGAAGCTGCTATTTTCCATCTTTGCTGTTCTCTTCTGTCCCCTTTTGTGCATGTGCATCTTGTTTTGCCTTTTAAGAAATGGGATTGTACTTTAACAACAGCTCCAACCCATCTCAACTAACTTCTCTTCTCCCCAAAAGAACAGTTATTACCATCTCAAAACCTGCCAAACAAAGGGACTTTTCCTTCTAGAAACTCTCTTCAGCCAGAGGGAAAGGGAACGAGGGAGGGATGTTGTTAAAGTGAAAGCCTTACTTAATACTTTACATTTCAAATGCTTTAACTTTTTCCTTCTTTTCTGTATCTTTAATAAAAGGTTTAAAGAATGTTTAATGGTGTTTTTGCCATGGTAATAAGCAGACTGAGGTCTCTGTATAACAAAGACCTTGTCTAACACTGCTGAATGTTGGACAATGACTGGGTTACATTGACACCTTTGACTCTTTGAGCCCCTGTATTCCATCTAAATGAATACAACCACCGCGACGAAAGGCTCACAGACTGAGAACCGCTGGATTATGCCATATCATCCTACTTACGGTTCTGGGGAATGCATAGGGGAAGAGGAATGCCTTATATACTGTGTGCTCTGAAAGACACGAAATGCCAGGCTGGCAAGGAAGTCACGAGGAGATAGCAGCCCTGCAGCTGGCCTCAGCTGAAAGCCTGTTCTTTCTGCAAAACAAAACAGCCCAGCAGGAAAATCTACTGTGAACATGACAACTCTACACCATCCAAGCAGTTTGAAATTTCCTTTGCATTTAGTCCCAGAACTTTCTGGTACAGATGGAGAAGGAAAATGTCTGTCTATTTTAGGTACTAATATGGGCTCTATTACTGTGGTATCTGAATGCCTCACAATCCTTTGTGTATTTATCTCTCTAACACCTCTGTGAAGAAGGGCAGGGGTATAGTCCACACTTTATGGATGGGAACTGAAGCACAGAGGGGTTAAGTGACTTGTCCACAGAGCGGAACTGTGGCACAGCAGGAAATTCAAGCTGGATCTCCCAAATCCCACCTACTGCCCTAGCCACTGGCAGCCTTCTTCTCTTGTAATCATAAATATCAGAAATAAACAAGAGTTTTGGATGGGAAGCACACCCTCTTGATTCAGGGCACAAGGTAACTTCCAGCCACTGGCAGCTCAGGAGGTATATTCCCTGGTTATACATTAGCCTGTAACTTCCTACTGCAAGATTCTTACCCCTTCCTCTGAAGGAGCTGGCATAGGCTTCTGCCGGAGACCAGGCACTGAACTAGATGGACCTCAGGTCTAAGCTAGCCTGGCAATACCTATGGTCCTGCATGGGCCTTTTATGACACAATCAACTTCAAGTAGTCGAGTTACCATATGGTGTTATGTTGTGTTTCATTTAGTTTGTATGCATGATTCAAAAGCAGGAACTGGAGTTACACTGGCAGGACACTGCCATACATTTTTGGAGAGGGCGTCTCTGTTTTTTGCAGTCTGTTGAAATCATTGGGGTGCAACAGCAATTGAATTTACATGGGATCCCTACAAGGTATGTAATAGGTAGGGTTACTCCTTATGGGTAATTTGGCCCTTAGCCTTTCTACATTTTTATTTGATCATTCTTTCCAGAGCTGTCAACTCCCATTTTTCCATCTGCTCTTGCACCTTTGTGTTTTATTTGTCTAAGTTTAAACTATAAGCCCCCTTTGGCAAGGCCCATGTTTTCTATGTATTCAGAAAGCATCATGTAAAACTGCCGTGCTTTAAGAAGAGTAGATAATCTATTTGAAGTCCCGTATTCCAAATCTGTGTTGCATTCCTTGCTTTCATAAATACCGTTTCATCTCTTATTTTAATTACTTTTATTGTGCACAACTAAAAAATAAAAGGACAGAAATGGCTTTGTGCTTGCGTTCCTAATTTGTTTAAACAGAAATGTTTCCCACAGAAACCAAGCTGTTCACATGAAATGTTTTATGTTTCTTCCAGCACATTTGGTTTCGGTCTGTTTGGTCACTAGTTCTCTTTCTCATATAAAGACGATCTTTCAGGGGAAGAGGTAGAAGCCCCATACCTAGACACATTTGAAGTCAGACTAGACAAAGCAGGGAACACTCTTTCCCTGGCAGGCTGATGACCTGGAGGAAAGGTCCTTTCCATCTTGAATTTCTATGATTCATTGAGCCAAATCCAAAGACGATGTGTAAGAGGCAGCATGTAAGCTGCACTGTAGTAAGTACATGTGAATCTAAGAGTTTAGATTGTACTTGGGCTACATGCCTGTGCAGGGGTATCAGGAGGAACTGGGAGAACCTACACTGGCTAGTCAGAGGCCTGTCATGGCATTTAGGCCCTGGCTGTAGCACTCAGGACTAGCATTGCACATGACCACAGCTCCACCTACATCTGGCCAGCGATGGAAGAAACTGCACACTGCCTCCCATTATAGGATATAGTGGCTGGCATGTCCCCACCACATGCTGTGGAATTCTGGGAGACACAATGCCACCCAGAGTTCCTCTGGGACGGTGCAGCTCTTCACCACCCACAACATGGGTTGGATTTCACCCAAGATATTTGTAAATAAGAGGTATGCCTCATGCACCCTAAATCTCACAAGGTGGCTCACTGACATGGGACTGGCTGTTGCGGCTTCTGCAGATCTTGCAATGACACCATTAGCCTCTGACTTAGAGTGAGTTTGTGCCAAAGGGATCTGACAGTAACTGCAACTCTCACAATGCCCTATGAGGAATGCTGTGTGATAAGGAGAATCTAATGTTAGACCTATTGGTGACAAGGAGGTATCGATGAATATTGATTCAGACTGGACCCAAGTATCTTATCCACCACTATATGAGTCCAGCCACAAACAACACTGGTTTGTGGAACACTCTGAATTTCCCTCCCCCAGTAGATATTTGCAGAGTTTTCTAACTGATTTTTTTTGTCATACGTTTGCCCAGAACAACTTGCATGATGACACATGGAAATAACGTAGGACACAATCTAGAGCAGATGTGGATAGCCACAGACATCAGTAAACAAAATCTGACAGTTCCCATACAAACAGTGAACACCAGTAGATCCTTACTTTGCCCTAATCTCCCTGCTTCTGTTATCCCTTCTGACGTTAGCTAGGACTGATAAAAAATATCAATATCAGTCACATTCAGAGCAGTATCCCAAGACTTATTGACAAAGATTACTTCTAGAGCTCCCTGCTGGCAGTAAAACACACAGAGAAGACACCTACCCAATTCCTCGCCACCATCCAGAGATGCCCCGATATTCTAGTGAGTGCAGGAGGCAGGGTTGAATAGACAGGAAGGGGGGAGGGAGAATACTAAAACAAGCCCTAAACTGGTCAGAGTAGCTTGCCCAAATGGTCAGGGCAGTTATGGTTGCCATGTACACCAAGGAGAGGCTCAGTGGAGCAGAAAAGGAAGAGAGAGCAGAGAAGGAACTGGGTGATGGGTGAAGCCTGGAGGTTTGGCTCAGGGAGTTGAGGAAAGACATGGTTGAATCCACTGTGTAGGGTTTTCCAAAATGAACAGTAATCAATAAAACAAAATGTCATTTTACCTACACAGTGAGGTATGATGTTCCCTTAGTTGGGCTCAGGAGTGTTGTGATCCACTATTATTTTAAATGATTCTCTTTTTTCCTATATTAAATAAACTTCCCTTAGCTAAGGCACTTTCAAGTCTTACGCTTTTTTTTCAGGAAAATTTCACTCTGGCACGTTCTCAAAGGGAAACAGCCTCCGACCGCTGGTGAGAGGCAAATGATAGGAAAAAGACAAGTGACCTGGTCCAAGACATCTTCCAGACACTGGCTGGGATCAGTAGGGGTCTGGAAGAAGCCAGCTGAGCAGAGGCAGTGGCAGGCATAGGACATGACAGTAGCAACAACAGTGTGTTACGAAAAACAATGTGTATTATGAGCCCAGTTCTGACCACATGTTCACTAGTGTAAATCAGGAATAACCCCCATTGAAGTCAATGGAGTTATACTTGTGTATCACCAGTGTTAGTGATATCAGAATGAGGCCATTGTCCCCATGATCCACTGAGGAACTCAAAGGAAACCTACAATATTCCTAGTTATTTCTCACTTTCTGTTAGTGAGCAAGCTAAAATGGGCCAGATCCATAGGCCAAGCTGAGTAGTGTTCAGCTCATGCACAGGTGTGTGAGATGTCGGAAGTTGCCTCTCAGCCATCTTTCCACTCTCCTTATCCTTAACACACCCACGAGCTCCCAGCATAACGTAGAGCAGCCTAAAGGCAGCTCTACATTATATCAGCAACAGCAGCTCTCTAGGATTGCTTTGCCATCATGGAATCACTGGAGGGTATTGTTCTCCAGTTCCACCTCCTCCTAGCCCTGGCAATGCCTTCAATCCACCCAGGAATGCCTATTATGCCTGAGGTTCGGGGGGAGAGGGGATGGATGACATACTCCTGGTCATTCCCATTTACACCACTGAAGGATGTCTCTACATCTGGGGACTCCCTGGCTGCACTAGTAATGCAGCTGTCCAGTCTCTTTTTGCTGCTGGATCAACACAAGGACCTGGCCCAATATATGTTAGTCTCTAGTTAAAATGACAATGTACTGGAAATCTCTTCAGCAGTAGGTTAAGCCAATTTGTCTTGCATTTGTTTATTGGTAGATGGAGTGGATCACTTGACTGGATAAACATCCAATTTAAACTTTATTTGAAGTTAAATCTACAATTTATCTATTTATTTTGCCCTACTTTAGCAACTGTCTTTGGCCTGCATCTGGCACCCTTCCTATTGCTGGGAGAGCAGCAAGGAGGGTGTTTTCTTTTATTGCAGCCATTCCTTGGCTACTCCAGATTACAGTGATTTTGGCAAGCCGATTTGTCGAAAAGGCACACCCTGCCTTGGAACTGAATCTGGCCTGGGGGTTAGCAATACAGGATCTCAATCTCCACTGTCCTCTGTCACTCAAACGTCTGCTGACAGACTAACTTGAGCTTGCAGCCTCTCAACAGTGTATCTATTCCTAACCCCCCTCTCCTTGTTATTAGCAAACAGATCTTCACGGCCTGTGCAGTCACAGTTCCTTCAGAATGGGGGTCTACCATCAACTCCTCTTTCCAGCACACAGCATTGTAGATTCCCACCTTGGGAGTGCTAAAATACAATGGGCTGTAATGTCTTGCCTTTTAAAAATCTGGAGACATCCTGAAGCTGAGGTATACTATCCTCTTGGTATCCACAGCATTTCTCCAGCTGCTGAAAGGCATCCAGGTACTGCTTACAGGCGTGGGTGGGATAGAGGCTGCTCAGCTTCCTGTAGACTTCTCTCCTGAAAGAACAACAACCCTTAGTTCGTCTCCTTTACTAGGAGCAGCACCTCTTCTCCCTGGCTTCAGAACCACGGCTGTTCACACAGGCAGCGCAGAGAGGATATCTAAAGCCGAGCTGAGCTCAGAAAAAATGATGCTCTGAAGCCGAAGCCTGGATGGAGGCTGCAGGGTAGGATTTTTCCAGGAGATGGGCACAAAATGAGGAACCAGATATGGGCCTCGATCTTGTACTTGGCTCTGCTCAGGCAGATCTTGGTGCCTGTGTGGAACCCCGTGAACTGTTCAACTGTGAAGAGGCACCCAGAGTTTCCCTATTCAGGAAAGCACTAAGTATGTGCATAAAGTGAAGCATATGCTTCAGTGCTTTCTTGCATCAGGGTCATTGTGCAAGTGCAAGATACCACCCAGGCAGATCCAAATGCAAGATGGAGATTTCCATCATCTCAAATTTTGGAGGTGTTTAGCTTATTGTAAGGAAAGGTGCTATACGCTACTATATAAAAATATTTGGCAGTACTTGGAATCTAGGGCTTTGGTTTGGGCCCTTCTCTTATATTTTATTATTTCATTTTAAAGGCTTCACTTTTTAACTATATTTAGCTGTTGCAAAATAAACAAGCACTAAAGTGATGGCAGGGAAGCTTATAGAAAGAGTTATATTTATTCACACCCGGCTCTGGGGTTCTAACAAGTGTATAAACATTGTTTTATGAAAATTGAGCTCATTCTTGGAAATGCTGACTAAAGAAAATGACCTTCTCTTGTTTTTGTATTGTAGTTTTTTTGCTGCTATTGTTGCTATGGAGGTGATAGCCAGTATCTTGTAATGGTTTGTCATTCCATCACATAAACTTCTTATGTTAGCGTGGGTGTAATTGGGAAAAAAAGAAACAGCCTTAGACAGTGGCTGTTGTCAGTATTGTAAAAGCTGCATGAGCCTGGACCATCTCCATGGAGCAGTTAGGAAAAGTTCAGGAGAATGAGAGGCCAGATTTTGCCCTAACTTATTCCCATAGATTACCCCTGACTTTAATGGGATTGTATAGGGTATAAAGCAGGGCATGAGTCCAAGATTGCTCTCTGGACAGTCTTAGCTAGACTTGTGTGAAGAATCTGGACATACTTACTTCAAAGAGTGACTTTACTGTTAATACTAGTACCAAAGCTTAGGCAGGTTAGGAGACTAGAAATGAGTGTGACCCAAAACTCCAGGCCAAATATTCTTCTTCAGCTTTGGGAAAGTTTGTATTCTGATAAGAAGCTGGATGCCCTGTCCCTTATCTCTATGGAACTAATCTTGGTCATTTTGTTTTAAAACAAAACAAACTTTAAAGTCCAGGGGCCAGAGCCTCAGGCAGTGTAAATAGACACAGTCCATGAGTTTTATCTAATTGTCTGGATGAGGCTTTGGCCCACAGTGTATTTTGTAATCATGTCTCTTTCAGCACCATTTGTCTGCATAATTATCACCATCAGCATATAAGAGGAGAAGCCACTAGATACTGGCCTTCTACTATAGGGCTTGGAGGAGGAGACATGGAGGACAGAAGCCCCACAGAGAAACAAGTTGTTGCCAGGATACTCTGCCATTGGAGGAGCCATTTTTTGGCCCATTTCTCCTCCACATGGTGGTGTTCTGACTCCCTGGTTGGATGACAGAAATGGGGACTAACATAAAAGGAATGGGGACTAATGGATAATGAACACCAAATATCTTGTGTGGGCATAAATACCTCAGTTCACATGTGAATGCAGCTATTTGTACAAGGAACAGGCGTTCTCCAAACCATTGTACAGAGCACATGAATAAGAATGAACTGAGCAGCTGGAAATTCAAATGAATATTTGCGAACCCTGTATTCAGCCTGCTCTAGCTGTAGGGACCAATGGCGCTGAAGGGCCAGTGCTGGCCATCCCCACACTAACAAGAAGGGTGGAAAGGGCAGAGTGGGGTGGAGGAGTTAAGCCGAGGAACCTGATCCCATAGCAGCCCCTCAGACTGCAGTCCACACTCTGAGAAGACTAGGTGAATCCCCGCAGAAGAGTTTGTGATCCGGCCTTGGGATGCCTATGATCACCAGCAAAGGGACATTCCCTGTGTTGAGGCTGCTTTACCTCTAGTTGTCACAAGGGGGTGGGACTTCTGGGCACCCGTGTTCAAGAAAGATTAATTCACACTGGAACTGGTACAGAGAAGAACTGCTAGGACGATCAGGGGAATGGAGAGCCTATCTTTTGAGAGGAGAAGACAAGGAGAACTTGGCTTCTTTAGCCTAGCAAAACAAAGGCTGAGGGGGAATCTGACTGCTCTCTATAAATGCATTGGGAGTAAACCCCAGGGAAGGAGAACAGCTATTGAAGCTAAAGGACAATGTTGGCACAAGAACAACTGTGTATGAACTGACCATGAACAACAGGCTGGAAATTAAATGAAAGTTTTTAACCGTCAGAGGAGTGAGGCTCTGGAACAGCCTCCCAGTGGCAGTTGTGGGGCCAAACACTGTAACGCGTTTTAAGGTGGAGCTTGATAAATTTATGAATGGAATTATATGTTGTGGTTTCCTGTGATAGCACGGAACTGGACTTGACCCAGCAGATCCCTTCAAGGCCTATGTTCCTATGAATTCTGTTTACAAATCAAGTAGAAAGGAGCTGAGTTAGAAAACAGAAATTACAGACTTTTAAATATACTTACTTATACTTTACAAAACTTTTAAAATATTTTTAATAGACCAATACTTCCCTGTTAGAAAATGTAAAATTGTGCTTACACTTACAATAGAGACAACTTTAAAATTAATTTTACAGGTTGCTCTAAAACAAAGTTCAGTATTACATATGCTTTTACTGCAAACGGTTTATTTTTTTTAGAAAATTATAAGCACTGCAAATTTAAAAAAAATATATTTTATTCTTAGAAAATAGAAGAAACAGTGGTCTTTATTTAGTATTCTCAGCTGCTGTGCACTATTAAGCTGCACTGTTAAGCAGCTGCAGTGTTCCAGCCCAGAGGTGGCTACAATTCAGTCACAGGAAAACAGAACTGTGTACACACAGGATTCAATTCTGCAGTCCTTATACAGGGAAAATGCCCACTGCTTCAGTGAACAGCTTTTCTAGGTATGAAAGCCTTGGAAGGCAGCTCCATAGTAAGCTGTCTGAAGCAGAGGAAAAGTTAATCTGCTTTGAAGGCAGAACCTCCTTACGCCAAACTTCTCCACAGAGAGTTTCAGAGCTTCTCAGGAGGAGCAGATGGTGAGCTCAGGAACATGTGCTCCTCTCCTTCCTTCTGCACTGAACCTCTTCTCATTCTTTGGATTGCCTTCAAAGTACCCAGGCCATGAGGGGGAAAGCAGAGGCAGTCCATCCTGAGCAAGGCTGCAGTCACTTCCCTGTGTGATCAATGGTTTGTGGAAAGATGCACCATCCTTAGATGACTGGGATTGGTTTTTAAAATTACCTGGGACACAGAAGAGTGATGTAGTTGCTAGAGAAAGTAGAAAATGTTCCTTCAAAACATTTTTTCCACAGAAAATGGCTTTTTGAATCAATGAAAATGTTTGAAAAAATCTGTTTTTCTCAAAATTTGAAGGGATTTTGTTAAAAAACCTGAAAAACAATTTTTTATAAAACAAAAAAACCCTACTTTTTTTAATTATAAGCTGAACAATTCCATTGCTGAGAAAGAGAAATATATATCTATACACACTCAGTACAGACAAAATCCTAAAAAATGTACCATTTGTCTGACCCAGTATGGCCATTCTTATGTTCTCATGCTAGCTGCATTCAAAAAAGAATTTGATAAGTTCATGGAGGATAGGTCCTTCAATGGCTATTAGCCGAGATGGTCAGGGACAGAACCCCGTGCTCTGTTTGTCCCTAAACCTCTGACTGCCAGAAGCTGGAACTGGGTGACAGGGGATGGATCACTTGATAATTGCCCTGTTCTGTTCATTCCCTCTGAAGCATCTGGCGCTGGCCACTATCAGAAGACAGGATATTGGGCTAAACAGACCAGTGGCCTGACCTCATGTGGCCATTCTTTCGACCTTAATTTTTTTAAAAAATCAATGAAAATTTGATTTTCATCAAAAACATTTTGTGAGAAGAAAATTATTTCCTGACCATCTCTAGTATCATAGAATATCAGGGTTGGAAGGGACCTCAGGAGGTCATCTAGTCCAACCCTCTGCTCAAAGCAGGACTAATCCCTAATTTTTGCCCCAGATCCCTAAATGGCCTCCCTCAAGGATTAAGCTCACAACCCTGGGTTTAGCAGGCCAATGCTCAAACCACTGAGCTATCCCTCCCCCCATATAGCCCCTAGATAAAATTTATTCAGAACACTGAGGATAATACACCTGAGAAATTTAGGATCTGATCCAACTCCCATTACACGCAGTGCAATTATTCTTATTGACTTCCGAGGAGTAGGATCAGACCCCTATTTGGTGTGGAAGGAGGAAGGTAATAAATATTTTAAAAGGGAATATTCATTGTAAATACTAAAAGCTAGTAAAAATCTGGATTTCTAAAACTGAACCTTGATCTGAATAGTGTGGTAAATTAAGCGCATTGTAAAATGCACACATGCTGAGAGCATATGTGTGCTGTTTCTTTAAAATGACAGGTGAGGGCTGTGAAAGATTCTAGGCAGACTCTTGACAGTGAAGCAGAGGGAAAGAGCTGGGACAGCTTTAGGGCTAATACTATTTCCTTATTCTAATCAAGTTCCTTGTTCTCTGTTAGAAGAAGGTGACTGTCAGCCTTTAGTATTGTCACATGACGTATGTCTCAATATCTTTGTCCTCTGTTCTCCCTTTTCCAGGACTATTCAGTTTATGGCTCTGCAATAACTATGCCTGACAAAGTAGACTCAGATTGTCCAAACCCTGTTTTTGGAAGCTGAGATTTCTGTTCTTGTTTTCATTTTTATACACATGTTGCTACAAACTAATGGAATCCAACAGCTCTTCAGAGCTAACATCAAGGGAATTTACAGCATGTTAAAAAATTTCCCCTTTGGTTTCCCTGTATCCATATGAAGTTGTGCTGTAATGCAGCTGACCTCAGCACACAGCCCGAGGGAGCTACGGTAACAACTGTGAGATCTAAATTTGGAATTTGATGTTCACAACCAGGGACTTGGGTTGCTGGGGCTAACTGTGTTGAGGAGACAAATAGATACTCCCAAAAGGCCTGTTCCATTTACCACTATGGGAATAGTTCTAGGTGGAGAATGGCTTCCGTGACGGAGGTTGGCAGAAAAAGGGGAAAAACAGGAAAGAACACAAAATTTAATTTTCTTAAATACAACATTCCCACACACCAGAACATGCCAATATTGTTGGCTGGTGGGAGCTGTCATGAACATGACGCTAAGGACTTAACAGGCATGTTACTACTTTTCAAAGGTTATTTGAAAATCTAGCATTTGAGCTTCTGAAAATAATAGAAGCTGGATAAGTGGGATATGATGTTCCTTGGTGATTATCTGGTGCTCATTTTGCAAATTCTAAGGCCCGATGGATTTTATTTAAAATAAAACATTTCTTCAGAGAGGAAGGATGACCTTGTTGCTGAGGTGCTGGGTGGGGACTTGGGAGATCTAGGTTCAATTCCTGGCTGTGCCCCTTAAGACCTTGGGCTAATCATCTAATCTCTCACTTTCCCATCTGTAAAATGGGGATAATCATTTTTCCTTTCTCCCACCTTTTGTCCGTCTTGTCAATTTAGATTGTACACTCTTCAGGGCAGTGACTATCTTCAACTATGTGTACATGCAGTACTTAGCACAGTGGGGCCCTGATCTCAAGTAGGACATTCTTTAAAATTTTACATTCTTGTAAAACCAGTAACCCATAGCAATAATTATTGCTATATACTGTGATTTTTGAAAGGCAGCTAGGGATGATGGAAGGAGGTGGACAAGGAAATAAGAATTCCCCTTTCCTCCAAAACCTTCACCCATTTCTGAAGTTGGCAAACGTCTTCTAGGTTTAATGAATTTCTTGCATCATTTTTTTGTTGCAAACCCCACTGGGGTTTTTGCACAGGGATAGCTACAATGGGGAAAACACCGGGGAAAATGTGCTGCACCAGTGTGAAAAGTGACTTTCTCTAGTGTGGCTTGCCCTGGGTTCAGCTGAGATCATGAAGCTTTTATAGTGTAAGTTGAGACCATGTTTATTCAGAGAGTGAGTCAACTTAAAAAGGAACATTTTTAACGTAACGGGAAACCTGTGCTGTGCACTGGGGTTAGAAACTTCCCGCACCCCATAAATTGCTAGATAGATGCATTCCCTTGCACCTACTATCTGTCTCAGCATGTATATATTAAGAGCACACCTTTGCATCAGTTCTAGCATATAAAGGGGAGGAAAGAGGAGAAGAGAAAAATTCAAATGGAAAAATACACTCTGTGTGTGTGTATATACATTTGACTACACTGCTTTTTCTCTTCCCTCCCACTTTCACATAGTTTTTCACTCTTTTTGCTCCATTTTCACCCTTTTTTTCCACTGGATTATTCTTTCTCCCCTTCTCGCTTCTTTTTCACACTATCCCCTAAGTAGAACATGAACCAGATAATGTTCAATTTCAAGTTAAGAACATAGGAATTGCCATGCTGGACTGACCAGTGGTTCAAATAGTCCAGCATCCTTTCTCTGGTAGAGACCAGTAACAGATGATTCCAGGCCCCTATGTTTATAAGGACCAAACAAAAACCACAGACTCAAATCCAGATCTGGATAGAGATCTGAATTTTCTGGCGTGGGACCAATCTCTTTTAAAGATTCTGAAATGCTCAGTTAACATTTATTTGATCATTTTTCAGTCTTACACACTTCCAGGTTCTGGCCAAGCCAGGAGCTGCCAAAATATCTTGCAAGAAACTGTTTCATTTTATTTCCACCCAAACAGAAGCAAAAGAAATCTTAATAAAGCACTTGTTCTTATGAGTTTTCAAGACAAATTTAGCAGATTTTCAAGAGTTCTGGATAGTATGGTTAAGTAGCCAGACTTCTTAGTGTCTTTTAACTGAACCAGAACTCTGAGGGCTAGATCCACAGCCCTACTAAGTCTACTTCATGCTGCTTTGGTCCTAAGCTCCACACCTCCTACCAACATCACAGGGCATGTGACAGCCCCTTAGCGAGTGCAATTTAGAGCAGCCCCGAGGTTGTTCCAACCTGCCAGGGATCAAATTTGCCTCTGCTATCTTGGAAACTGGGTGGGGGCAGAAAGAGGGGCCACAAATGTAGCAGAAAGCCTTCCCTCACTTAGATGCACCAACCCTGAGCCTTCTGATGTATTCTCACCACTTAATGTAACCTGGAAGTAGACTCAGAAGTCTATTCACCCCTCAGTGCAGGTATGTAACTCCTCTTAGCAACACCAGGAGTTACACTTGCGTGGGGAGAATAGAATTCTGCAAAATGAACAAGAAGGGATCATTAAGACATCAATTAAAACTAGAGATGTCCAATATTATTTGAAAATGTAGGGCACCATTGTGCACTTCTTGCGCCTCCAAAATTTCCCTGGGTTTCAGTAGAATTGCCCCATGACCTGTCATGGGGCAGGATATGAAAAATATACTCACCAAGTAGAGGTCTCCTGGGCAGTGTACTCAACTCTAGGCAAAGGGTCTCCTCTTTAAGGAGAGAGAGAGAAAAAAATTATGTAGCTGATTTGAGTTCTAGTTTCAAATATAATTTTCTTTATATGCGTCAGGATTATTTGGCATACTAAAATAAATACAAATAAGAAATAATCATCCCGAAGGATTCTAAAGGGTTTTATGACCCAGGTGTCCTAGGCTCTACCGAATCCCCAGGGGTGGTGCAAACAGTGAAATACTGTAAAGGAAGGACCACTTGATGGAATGTAGAGGAAGCAGTGCTGTATTGTCACCTGTTCCCATTGCTTAGCTGCTGGCAGACCATCAACAACATAGCTGGCTAGCCAGAAGGTGGGATGGAGCTAGGAACAACTGCTCCACGTGACATAGTCACAGGGGAAAGAGCCCTAAATTATACAGCAAGTGGGTGCATAGGTATATTGTGCATATTTCAGCATTAACTTCCCCTCTGTAGTTGTATCTACCATCCGAGAAGGCGATCATTCACACTACTAGTGAGGGAGCAGGCTGACTAGCCACCATGTATGGAGGCTGTCATTAAGCAGAAATCTCCCAAGGTTCAGGGTTTCTCCTGAGTTCTTGGGCACCATGTGGCTCACAGCTCAAGGTCATTATGCATCTTGCTAATGCCACCTACAAGTGGGTAGAATGAATTTCAGTGTCCACAAGGACAACCCCCCAGACTTCTCTTCCACTCCCATGTGTTTTTACACAGAAAGGCAAGAAAGTGTAAATTGTTCATCTGAGGATAAGTCCATCTTTTTTTTTATTATTATTATTTTCTCCATTTTCTGTAGGACATGCACAAGTCCTTGTCTACCTGACAGGTTTATTGAGGTACATGCCAAATCCTAGAAGGAAGATAGCCTCATCCTATAATTTAAATGAAAGAGTCATATAGAGACCATTTTCCCCCTAGAGTTACATGAAATTATGCAGAGCTCAGTGAGGCAGCCCTAAAGTTAAATATTAAATTAATTTTCATTGTATTCTGAAATGTTCCTGATTTGCCTGGGATGTGTGTTTCTGTGATTAACTCAGTTTTCCAACAGATGGCACCACAGACCATTGGCCTAGGATTAAGTTACATCAACCATAAAGCTGCTTACAGGTGAACAAAATCAGACTACTTACTGTGAGAGCACACAAAATGTGAAACTGACTTAGAACAAGTAGTTTTCCAGTGGTGATGCACTTACTCTCTGTAGCTGAAGGCCAGGTCTGTAAAGAAGGCTCTCCGTTTCCTGTACTCTGGGTCAGTGTAGCCCTAAATTGGGAAATAATTTAGCATCACTCTTACATCAGGACATATTGATGGGCTTGGATGGATTTGCTGACAGAAACATTCAAAACTAACAGGCCTGAATTTGGTTGTTTCTTCTATTGCAGTCTCTCTGTGGCAAGGCATCATGGGAATATTACAGAGTAAGCCAAATTCTGCACTTAGTTACACCCATGAAATCTCACTGACTTTGGACCTGTTCCTACAAAGGAATGTAAATTGTACTTAGGTCACAGCTAAGCATGAAGATAGAGTAGGCTTGAGTAGTGAGCATTATACAGAATGAAAGTCACAATTTAAGTGGGAGAGTTAGAAACTAAGCTCACTCCATTGATTTTCTGCTTAGCCATTGTGAAAAGGGACTATGTTAATATGGAATTGTATGCTAGGAGACGTTGCTATAGGATAAGAGTTGTTAAGTGAAATTGTAAGATGAGATGTGTCTCTGGGCAAAGACCAAAAGAACATATGCTACTGGGTGACCTGAAAGACAGGATTCCTGGATGGAAGTGTCGTTAGCCTGCTCATTTGGAACTTTGGGGGGTTCGCTGCTATGGGGAGAGGGAGCAGGATCACAGAGGAGGGTGGGCAACGGGACTGTGGTCAGGAAGGGAAGCACCACCAGGATCTTATAAGCTCAGGCTTTCCCTCTGGAGTTAGTAGGAGGGTTACTGAAAGCTACTGTGATCTTTAATTTGGTTAAATAAAAGTTGAGTAGTTTTTCACACGTAAAAGTCAGCAGTGTCGTTAGTCGGTGGGTTTTGAAGAGATCTACAAGGCCCACAAAAGAGAGTTAGGAAAAAGCAGACAGGATCTTCTGCTTTTCACTGGCAAGGGTCGTGAGAGTTAGGAAAAAGCAGACAGGATCTTCTGCTTTTCACTGGCAAGGGTCGTGACAGGAAGCTGAGGGATTGGGGGGGGGGGGGGGAAGGCTGTAGTAACAACACACAAACACCAGTGCTGAACAAAGTGTGCACCTAGGAAGGGAAAGGTCATGACAGCCATTTTAAAATATGAGACATTTAGAGCTAGACATATGATATTTTGCTCAAAAGGGAGCAAATTGAAATTTTGAGTTTCTTTTTTCTTATGTTTTACTAGAAATTCAGCTCTTCCAGTCAGGTCTTTCCAATTCTTCAATAAACATTAAAAACATGTGGAATCAAATCCCTTTAAGGTTTACATCACTTTTGATATAATAAGAATAATATCTGAATTCCGGCTCCATATTAACACAACTAATAAAGCATAGCTGATCGGTATCACTGTGCAAATATTTATTATTGTAAAATATTCAACATTTATTGGAACCATTTTTCATGTTAAGGGTCAAACTTTTCCTTTACGGTTATGATCATGAATACTACTGTAGTCCATGAGAGTTGTGCACATTTAGCGGAGGGAAGAATTTGACTCTGAGAGTATGTTATAATCTCTGTGAGCCAGGGAAGTATTATTATCTCCTTCAATGGGACTGCTCACATGTGTAAAGTTACCCAGGGGCTTAAAGACCATAGGATCAAGACCTAAGATAAGGCAAGATGCAGAAGGTTGGGGAACAGGAACACATTGTTATGTCAGACCAGCCAAGCACATGATTAATATGTTGTAATTTGGGGGTGGCAAATGAACAAGAGGTTTCTTGTCTAGAAAGTGAGATCTGATCATGTGCTAAAGGGCTTTTCTGAATAGGGATGCACGTAAGAGTGAGCTTTATCATCAGGGCTGCCGTCCCCACTGTCTCTTGGGACCCTGGATCTCCTGTAATATCTTTGGGCCTTCCTTGTACTGATCCTGAGAGATGGTTCTTACCAGACTGGGCCAGAGAGAGGGACCCAGATGACATCACCACCTCCACTGACAGTGGCTGAATCCCAAACCCCACCTGGGATGTGAGACTGTTCTCCCCCTTACCTCTTCTTGTGTCTTTTTCCTTCCCCACTTTATGTCTTCTCTTGCCTTTCCCTCTCCTTTTTCCTTCTGTCTAAGAAGAGTCTGACATAGCTGGCCAAGACTGTATATTGTGCACACTACTGTAAGCCTGTGATCAAAAAGGCAGCTAAAAGCAATGCCTTAAATAGCCTGATGCTGTACAGGTTTGCCACACCTCAGAGGGCCCAATAAGACCATGTGCTGCAAGTAAGAGTCAACGCCATGGACAAACGTTGCATTTTCTAGCTTTGCTAATCTCTACTTGCCCCTTTTGTGCATGCTTGTCTTCTTGTGTCTTCTAGGAAACAGCATCAGAGTTCAACAACAATGGCAATAACAACAGCTCCAGCCCAGCTCAACTAACCTTTTCCCTTTCCCCGCAGAAGGACAATTATTACCATCTAAGACACTGTCAGACAAGGGGGCTTTTCCTTCTAAAGACACTCAACAGCTAAAAGGAAAGGGAACAAGGGATGCTGTTAAAAGGAAAGGCTTACTTAATACTTTACCTTTCAAATGTTTTAACTGTTTTTCCTTCTTTTTCTGGATCTTTACTAAAGGGTTAAAATGATTTTAATGGTGTGTTTGCCATGGTAGTAAGCAGAGTGAGATCTCTGTATGCTAAACACCAGACCTTGTTTGACACTGTTTAATGTTGGACAGCGACAGGATCATGTTAACACTTAGCTCTTTGGGCCCATTTATTCCATATAAATTAATACAACAGGTCTCTATGATTTTTTATTATTAGGTTCCTTCATTCATTCCTAGTTCACTGATGTCCATTGTAAATCTCCTCTTTAAAAGACAAACGTTGGGCACAGAATTGTTTTGGAGGCTAGTTTTACAGAGAATTCATCTGGACAGCAGAAATAGCCAACGTATTTAAATAGTTTCAAAGGTAAACTAATGATGACCTCAAACTTACAGGATGATCGTGGTCCAAATCAGGTTCATACTTGGAGATCAGATGGTGGCACTTGTCAAGGTCTCGTATTTTCTTTGGAAACCATGGGACTGTTGGAGATAGCAAAAAAATGGTACATTTAAATGATATAGGCTTGGAAAGGGACAGAAAAAAACCAAGCCACTGAGAATAACAACCTCTGCTTTATAGGAGGAATATTTTACACCTCCACATTACAAATGGTGAATTAAAAATGAGTTGAAAAATGACAAACTTACTGTCACTGATCCAGTAATGCACTTATACATGCGTTTAAGTCTATTCCTATTCATACGTGAACTAAAAAATGTAGCTCGCATTAGCATAAATGAGTGTTATGCACATGCATGAAGCCCATATACCATTATGCTCTATCATTTCCTCAAGTTTTGATCACAAATCATTCACTCTTCACCAGCCAATGAACGTAAGAATTACCAGAATAGGCTGAGCCCCTGTTCTCTGGCAAAGGATATTTAGATCTCAGACCACTGTTAATTTCAGACTGGCTGGTGAGAAGGCTGTTTTTCTTCTAAGGGAACAAGTAATATTACAGGAGGAATATCCTGTCCTTTAGAAATTTAAAAAGAAGAGAACACTCTGTATTCTAATAAATAATAATAATAGCACTTCTTATTTATAGAACATCAGTTTTCCAGAATATTTTCTATTGCATAGAAAATATAATTACTACATATTGACACCCAGAGACAAAATGCATGGAAGTACTATGGAAAATATGAAATATTGATAAAATCAATTGCATATTTTATGTGCATTATTTTCAGAATCATCTAGAAACAGAAGATGTATGAAAAACATGTGGAACGCAATGCCGCAATGTGCTTTAGGAAGGCTGACCTCTGTGAGGTCATTGGAGCTATGCTTGAATGTGGGGTCTGCTCAGGAACATCACATTGCAGGATAGGGGGCCTAACGTCGCATACACAAAATGGAAACTCTGGACCTAATGAATAATTTAAATACAATTAGACACAAGCTAGTGCTCATTTGTGGGAGGAGGGGACTTAGCCATTAGGATACAGGTTCCTCACATTGCATACCTCTCTCTTCTCTGATAGTTTTCACATCTTCTGCCACTTTCTTTAAGGAGTTTATAAGGACACTGACATCAGAATTATGAACTTCACATTTGACAAAAAATTCGAGGTCATCGGTAGTGTTCTTGGATATTTTGGCTTGCCTGGTTTCAAGGTGTTGGATTCCAGCTTCAGAAGCCTGCAAAAGACAAATGTCCACCTGGTGAGAAATCTAAAATCACTGAAAGACAGCTGGCTTTGACTGCAGCTGTTATATGTCTTTGAAAAGATAACTGGATAAAGCTTTACAAGAAATGCCAACCCCGATTTTTCTTAGGCCTAAAATGAACTATCCATACAGCAAGATGGTTCCTCTGAACAGCTGTTCCCATCCCTGTAACCCTCCATCCTCATTTCAAAGTGCCCCTGGCATCCCCCTTCAGCCAGGAAAGCCCCAGCTAACCCCCCTGAGCAGCGAGGTGGTGCTAACATAGAGGGGAGCAGCTGGGCCATAAGGTGGGGACAGGTGCAGAGGCTAGAGGGGGTCAGGCCCAGCAGGGTCCGAGAAGGGAGGGGAAGATTAGGGGACAGAGGCAGGGGGCTGCAATGGAGCACGGAAGGGGATGAGGCCAGAGGTAGGGCAGGAGGCTGCTGTGGAGGGCGAGGATTAGGCGAGAGGCTGGGATGAGGAGGTTTGTACCTCGAAGACTTTGGCTGTCTTGGACAGCCCGACCTTTCCAGCATTCCGGAGGGTGAAGGTCAGGCTCAGGGTGGCTCTTCCTTCCTCTTCCTCCCAGACCAGGCCCTCTCCCTTGTCCACGGGCTCTGGGGCCGGAGTTTCCTTCTCCGCATCTTCTCTGAGGCTTGCTCTCCTGCCTGGGGCGCCCGCAGCGTCGGTCTTCATCGCAAACCGGCTCAGGAAATCCAGATCCCCGCCAGGGGCGACACCTGTGCCCATGGGGGCGCAGCTCACCCCGCCCGCAGGCGCCGAGTTTCCGAGAGCCAGCCCTCGTCCTCGCCTTGCTTAGAGCCAGCCCCGGCGGAGATCTGCCATAGGCAGCGAAAGGGGTCTATGCAGGGCTGTGGGGCAAAACCCTCCCCGGCGTCCTTACAGTGCGAGGTGGGCTTGGGGTGGATGTAGGCTTCCCTGTGGGTCTGACAGCGCGGGAGACCAGCAGTGAGTGGGGACCCTTTATGGTGCCCGCCTCGGGGAGATCAATGGAAGGGCGCTGCCTACAATCTGCGCAGGAGACTAAAATAACCCCCCTTCTCATGGTAATTTCAAAGCAGGACCCTCCTGCTCTATTTCAAAGTGTCTTTATTTTCCGCCGCGTTGCATCTTTTACCGTTTTAGAAATAGGGGTCTTTTGTTAAGAGGCCCGTTGAAATCTGGATTCAGTTTACATCTCTGAATCTGAGCTTCTGTGCTTCGTGTGTGAAAAAAAGCCTCCCCCCACCCTCTGTGTGTGTGTGTATGTCTTTCTTTGCTTTTATTGTCTAACTGGACAGATCTTATTTCCATAGCTGAATTCCCTCTATTGGACTGGTCCGTATTCTACCTAATGCGGTCAATTACACAGGTAATTCAGAAGGTGGAAGTAGAATTTCTCTTCTCGAAGTCTTCGATCTGGGGAACAGGTGATCCTAAAGAAACCTCTACATTTTATTTCCCGGAGCCACAGTCCCGGCCAGGAGCAGGGAGGAGATGGGAGGAAATTAGAATGACCTGGAAAGGGACAACTCTTCAATCTGGTAACTCTCGATGGGTTTCCAGCCCTGCTTAAACCCCGCTGCAAAGCCAGCTGTGAGTGTTAAGCGCTATTTTAAATACTGTCACGTAGAGATTTTTATTAGCTATGACTAAACCTATGTCGTGCAATATGATTATTTCTAACCGGTTAGTTTAAGAAGGTTATAAACCGGTGATTGATTTTTTAAAGCAATAAAGTAGAGGAGATACCAGTCAAGAACACCCTGTGATTTTTGCAAGGTGTCCGGAATCTTGCAGTCCCCTTTAAACTTTGCTTCAGACTCATATTTTACTTTCAATAGCCTTTTCTCCCAACCTGCCACTCAGGGGCTCTTTGCATACTTCCCTCTGGGGATAAATCCTGTTGTTCCAAGGGGCTGATTTCTGTTGCAGTGTTGTATGTTGTAACAGTATTTTGAACTTCACTCAGATTAATGCTACCTAGCAAACGAATTCAGCTCTGGTAGATAATTCAAGCCCCATCTCTTGGGAACACATGGCTCCGGATTAATGATGGACATTTACTAGATGACCAATGGCTCTAAAGCGCATGCAACTTCAGAGGAGCAGGACACTTGTTCCATTTTATTGATTTCGGTGAACGATTATCAACAATCTGTATGCGCATTTTATATACAGTGCTAGGGTTTCTAGAAAAACATTGCCCCTGGTGTATCTGTGTTTATGGATCCTGAATTAAATCCTGCCAGCATTTCCACTAATACAGTTCGTGATTTTTAAACCAATTTCAAGTCCGTGGCGTTTAATGTTTTGTTTTCATGCTTTGGGTTGTTGTTGTGGGTTTTTTGTTTTTGTTTTGTCTTCTTCCTCCCAGCACTCTGCAGTGTGGGACACGGTGTGGGACCTTTGTGTTGCTGTCCGTTCATTTCCCAGCTTTTAAAGCTGTATTTCGATTGCCCGAGTTACGTCAAGCTGCTACGTGTTAGCACAGAGAAATGTAACATAATCAGACACACCCATGACCAGCTGGACTATCATTTTCTTTAGCAGTCTAGGCTAACGTCTCAGCGATACAATTTTACTGGACAAACCTTTGGGCCAAACTGTCACTTAATAACAAGAGTAAATAATTCAACATGGTTGTATAGAAATTATTCCATACAAATGTACCACCAAATGCTCCACAGCTTTATAAAATCATCCTCCCCTGATTCCAGGGAGAACGCTACAAGGACACATGATCTACTGTGAGCCCCCTGAATTCCCCTTCTTCCCTGTGGGTCAGAGGAGGGCAGGGATGGGCGCTGTCCCAGGTGCTGAAACTCTCCTTGACCAGAAGCAGCAACCCCAGCTGCTTTCCCTGCTCCTGGATCCCTTGTAACGTCCTATCCTCTTAGTGCCTGGATTTCTAGGATAATCCAGTTTGTTGGCTGGCTCGGTTAGTTTGGTTCTGATTTTGGCTGGTCGCTTGGGAATAAGGATCCAGAGTGAAACACCTTCCAGCAAAAGCAATAACTAGGACAGAAATTTAGCGCCGAGATACCTATTTGTAATTAACACGAGTCTTCTGAGCTTGGATTGTTTCTGAGCTAGCCACGAGGGAAAAGCGAGTTCTCTGCAGTTCGAAGTGTTAGCGAAGGAGATCCGAGGTTGTCAGCTGATTTGCTTTCAGTGGGAGTACAGTAGGAATCCGCATTCCTTCGGCATTATTTACACCCACAGTGAAATTAAGACCAGGTATTTAATAAAGAACAAGATTCCCAGAATCCACATTTTCTGGAACTGACATTCCTTGGTGAGCTTTTGTAACCGATAACTGAAAGTGTGATTAGATGGTAATATAAACTAGAATGCCATCGATATAAACCTGTATTATTTCGCTCTGTAATCTATTATCTAGCTCTCTATAGCTATACCTATATAATCTAATCAGCAAAGCACCTCAGACACGAACCTATCACACCCAAATCTGCTGTGACACAGTGCAGAAGTTCACAACGAGATACCAAAGAATACAAGTTTATAGGGGTAAACCCAATAAAAATCTTCCCAGAGTGAAAAGCCAGTCAAGACAGCCTGGGGCTTGATTCTCTCTGAAGATAACGACCTCCTCATATGTACTTTTAAATCTGGACAGTAAAAGGTGTAAATATTAATAGTTTCCATACAACCACCTGTACTCCCAGTCAAAATCATTGGATCAAAATGTCCGGCAACATCCATTTTCTTGATGTTTTTTTTTCCTTCTGCAAAATAAAATAAAATAAAACCATGCTAAGAAATACAAAGTTGCCAGCGAATGGATACTTGACCTCCAGCTTCAGACTCAGATAATGCAGGGTTGAAATTAGCAAGGCCAATCTCCTTCGCGCGTTGTGTTCGAAGCCAGCTTCGGAGTTATAAAGTAGTAACAGCATCAGTCACCCTAACAGGGACAAACCACTTCTCCTTTTGTTCGTTCTGCTGCCATTTTGTTGAGCTGAATGAGAAAGCCTGTAGGCCGCGGTTCACCAGCTCATTCCCCTTTTTGAGATCCAGCAGGCGAGGCTAAAAGCTAGCAATAGAAACTACCAACAGAAGGGTTAGTGACACATAGAGGAAAAACCAGCCAAGTGTTTACTGGAGTGAAGGCACCTCTGATTTGCTTGAGGGGCAAAAGAACAGATTCACACCGCTTCCGTGGATTTCTGGCTGACAGCCTCATCAATTTTGAAGCGCGTTAAGCACAGGAATAATACCCTATAATGCCTTATTAAATGCAAAGTTATGCAAGGAAGTCTGATACAAATGTCATAACTGCAAAAAGTACATCAGGTAAATTAATTTGCAATCGTAATGCCATAAACTGCCAGCATTAAAACATAGCTGATGAAAAATGTGGTCAGGTAAATGCTTCTTTTTATACCATAAACTTCTATTATTTGCCCGCTGTAAATGAATATTTAAAATATGGCCCATATGTTTAATTGTAACCATTACGGGCCTGTTCTAAAGCCCACTGACTTATGTGAGAGTCTTTACACTGATTTCAGTGGGCTTTGGACTAGGCTAGGCGTGAAATCAGTGCCAAGATGAATTACATTATTTAAGTCTGCCTATACTATGAATATTGCCTGCAGTGGTTTTGTATGTGTTGGTCCCAGGATATTAGAGAGACAAGGTGGGTGAGGTAATCGCTTTTATTGGACCAATTTCTGTTGGTGAGCAAGGCGAGCTTTCTAGCTTCCCAGAGCTCTTCTTCAGATATTAAAAGACATTACCTCACCCACATTGTCTCTATACCATAAATACAGACCTTATACATTTTATCTATATAGCTACAGATATAGTTAAGTATTTGATCAAATAATTTTAAGGGCACAGAGTTACTGACTATAAGGCTAGTGCGAACATTGCCATCCATGCTCTGAACCCAGCTTCCCCAAAAATCACTCTCCGGAGTATTAAAAGAAAGCGCCACTGCATTAAAAGTGACGTTTGTGACATTTCAGAGAAGAATGGCTGAACTTTTGTAACACATGTCTGTGTTTTAGGGGTGCACCAGTGTAAGAACTGGGCAAGAAATAATTCCATGGACTTGATTCCATGCTGTCGTATGTAACATTAATTCCAGGTGGTTAGACAGTAAGCTCTTAATGGCAGGATGTATGTCTTACACTGTATTTATAGCTGCCTACCACAACTGGACTAGTCATGTGACAAACATTCTAGTTCCAGGTCTCCTTACCGGGACAAAATGTACCAGATCTTAATAAATTATTATACAGACAGACTTGCAGCAGCTTACAGCTAAGAGGGAAATAACTTCTAACCTCAGTGGTCAATATTTGAAGCTATAACTCCCCAAATAAGCTACATTTTCTAAAAGGTCTGGTCCTGCAGTCCTCGCCTAGACTCCCCCTGAGTCTCACATGCATAGGCACTCACATACCTGCACATAGTAGAGTGATCCATTGCTCACTGAAGTCAATGGGCGCCGTTCCCTTGACCAAAGCTGGGCTTTGACTCAGGTCCAGCTTGCACATTTGAATACATATTTTGTGTATGCAGTCACCAGTTGGCTGCTTGTGATTACATGTGATTGTACCTGCATCCAACTGCTCATTTGAACATGAACGGTTTATGTGCATCTAGGAAATCTGTCTGGCTATCTCCATTTTAGGGCACTCGCAGACACTCTATGAGGAGTCAAGAAGCAGTAGTAATGCATCAGGTGCCATAGATAAAGGTCAATATCCAGAGTCAGAAAGTAGAAATTAGGTGCCAAGGAGACCAAGATCGAGTATCCTGTGCCAAGAATTAAGTTTCATATTTCCCCGAATATAGAATTTGTCAATCATAGGTTATTTTTGGAAAACCTATTTCCCCTGCCCTCCAATTACTCTCCCTTTAAATGGGTATATTTAATTGGTTAGGTCCCTACTGAATGCAACAAGAACTGGGCCAAACTATGTGAACCTATTTCAGCCCTGGAGGCAATTCCATTGACATCAATGGAGCTGCGTCTGCTTACAACAGGACTGAATTGGCCTTCGTCTCTGTGTGTGTGTGTGTGTGTGTGTGTGTGTCCACATTTAATAAGGAGGATTAATTAAGGAGGATCCCCCCCTCTTCCTGCTCCAACTAACAGCGTAGGAGTATATGATTCCTACTTTGAATCGCCATCATCTCACTTTACTTGCAAAAGCAATTTGGTTTACTTTCATTATAGTGCTGGCCAGAGATATTGTAGACACTCCCATTTCCCTCTCCCTCCAGTATATCAGATTGCAAATTTCTTTTCTTTAACTAATTCTCAGTATGCGTTCAAGCAAATCTCTGGGTTGCTCTTGCTGGAGGAGATGAATTTTTGGTCTAAGCTAGTTATTTTCTTTATTTCCTGAAGCAGCAGTTATACAGCATTGTGAGGGCCCCTTGCTGAAGAATCTATGATAAGTAAGACTTATGTTTCTGTGTCAACCAGGCTTGGCAGCTTTAACTCAAACACAGGTCAAGGTTTCCATTGGACTCAGCTTTTAGTGGTGCTGACAGAGTCTTTAATAAGCCCCTTCTTTGAATACCTCAGTTTCAACTTATAAGGAAACTTAGGTCTCAGACACATAGGCTCAGATCCTCTAAGGCAGATAGGTGCCTAACTCCGACTCAAATCCCTTTGAGGACCTGGGCCATAGTCCTTTTGCAGGAAAATTCCCTTGGAAGTCAGCGAAAGTTGGCCTGTATAAAAGACTATAAGACTGAGCCCTAAATTAGTTTCCATAGTAAAAGAAAGTCAGGTCACAAAAGAGCTATGCCCATGCTTTATATTTTAAAGGGCACATATTAAACCAACAGGAAGGTCCTGTTGGTTTAATGGAAAGTTGTGGCATAGCCTTGGCTATGGAATGGCTAGCATGTCTCCATAGTAGTAAACCAGGTTACACAAATCCCATCTGGTTAATGGGTTTTATTGTTAGCAATTTTATTTGCATACAACAAAACAAAACTGTTACCTATTGCTTTTAAGACATATACAAGGATCAGTGTCTCAATCACTACATTGCCCAATACTGCTGAAATACACACTTAATATGTACTACACACTATATTTATTTAGCTCTGCAAGAACATGATAATCTGTTGACATAAATACTAACAGTGAATATATGCAATGTAATGAAAGTAAATGGTAAGGAAGTTAAATGGTTTGCATGCAGTGAGGCACCAAAGTAAGTGTTTGCTCAGCTGTGCATTTGTGCAGACAGCAAAACCTGCTAAAGAGATGCTACTCAACGAAGATGTATAATTACATCGCCCCATACTGAAGATGAAAAGTAAATGCTTCAAAATATAGAATATCACAATGCACTATATATGGCATCTTGTCACTACTTGATGTGCCCATGTAACTCATTATTAGTGTTACTTTATGGAGCCATAATGGCCTATGTGCTTAGAAGAATCTGGGTTTGCGGAAGAATGAAAAGCCACACCAATCGTATTAGCTATTGGCACTTTTAGGGAAAACAAACAAATCAACCTAAACCAACTAACTAATTTCAGCAGAAATCCTTTTCATACAGTGGCTTTTACATTGTATTTATTGTTGAGGCTTTGTTAATAATGGATTTATATGGTATTACTATTATTCATTTAGATTCATTTAAATGCTAACCAGGTCTTCCACCTATACACCTTTGACATAACTTAAAAATACAGTATATGCTAAGTGCAGCAGTATACTTTAAGATTAAACCATCAGCAGAAAGCAAGGTAAAATCTCAAGTCTCCCTCCCACTCTATTTCCGCATCTTTACAATAATAAACACCCTCATGATCAACTCTATTAAAGGCAGCTACCAAGACTAATAGTATCAGCATGGGCAGCTGACCTTCTGTCAATGCAACTAAGGTGGACTCTGTTTCGTAACCAGGTTGGTATCCAAGCTGAAAAAGGTCAAAGAGATCTGAGGCGACTAGATACTGCAAGAGCTGTTTCACCGCAACTTTTTGATCACCTTAGTCAGGAATGAAGGCACCATGGATATTTTAGCTTATTCTACAAGAAGCACTGAAGGAAGAAGCATGGAGGAAGAGGTTATAGCATGGGACTGGGGGTCAGAAGTTTAGTCATAGTTGAAAGAAGAAAAGGAGTACTTGTGGCACCTTAGAGACTAACAAATTTATTTGAGCATAAGCTTTCGTGAGCTACAGCTCACTTCATCGGATGCACATCGGATGCTGTAGCTCACGAAAGCTTATGTTCAAATAAACTGGTTAGTCTCTAAGGTGCCACAAGTACTCCTTTTCTTTTTGCGAATACAGACTAACACGGCTGTTACTCTGAAACCAGTCATAGTTGAGCATCCTAAGTACTTGGATAGCACTATGATGGGAACACTATAAAAGCCTAAATTGACAGAGCCGGAATGTTTATCTCAGGCTCGATAGCAGATCCTGGACATGCCAAGTAACCTATGCCTCTGTTTCCCTGATTGTAAAATACAGGTACTACTTCATGGATCTGAGACTTCTTAGTTAATGTTTTTAAAGCTTGCTGTTTTTTGATGTTCTTGCATGAATGATGCTGCAGAAGTGTAAAATAATATTGAGTATTTTTGTTTAATTTAGTCTTTCCAACACACCACTTAAAAGTACTATATATATATGTAACTATCTGTTTTAATACTGGCTTACTAAACATTTACATTTATTTAGTTTACATAGCAGAATGATATGTTTACCAGACAGAAGAGAAATTAAAAGATTTTTTACAAATTTTAATTTCTTTCTTGAGCTATCCACTAAAAATAGTATTCTAAATGCAACTAACTTAAAATATTTAAAAATAAATGCATAAGCTTATTTTTTAGTAAGAAAATCTAGTTGCTTTTTGTTTCATCCACTTCTAAAATCCCAAGGGGGCTAGTGCTCTCACTTCACTTAACAGTAGTTTGACACCAGTGTAATTCCATTGACTTAACTGGAGTCATTCCAGACTACACCTGTGTAAATGAGACAGAATCAGACCCTAAATGTGAAAGTTGTTTAATAATTCCACTTAAGTATAAAGGAAACCATGTATCCTGTGTTCCCAACAGCACCATGGATGCTGCTCTACTGTTATTCATAGCAGCAGTCACAAGAAGATTTGAAAGCCAGCAGGAGATTATTTTGAAAGACTTCAAACTTGTGGTGGAATCATCCTTTTGTGAACACAATCACCTTAGCGGTATCACTATACTAGAAGAGAAGGAACATGGGCTACTTTCACTTTTGAAATAAGTGCCAGGGATTAAAGGTTTGCACAGACATTACCACACAATAAAAGACCCAGTAATAAAAAAGGCATACTTCAAAGCACCAAAATGATGCCATTTTGTATAAAAATACTTCTGTTCAAAAAGGTCCCAGCTGGTATCCTTAGATTAGATTAATGTTATTATACTCTATAAATATAATAGAGGCAGTTGTAGTTTGGATCTCCTTAAAGGGCAATGTTTGAATGAAAGATCCATTGCTTTTTGAGAAGTAAATATAAAAGTGGTGCAAGACTAGATATTACAAAACTGATTTAAAAGTCCATAAAATGTAAAGCCCACAGTAGCTTTAGAACCTCTCATCACATGTTGAAACTTGTGTATGGGAAAGTTGTTAATGAGAAACACTGATTTGCTCTGCTTAGCTCTGGGTGGTTCAAATGTCCAATCTGTGACCTAGCAAATTTAGTCCCTGGACTATGAGCTGTGGGAACACATTGCACATGGTGTGAACACAATATTTTAACACTGAAGGAGAAATCTTCACTAATGAGTCAGAAACATACTGAAAACACAGTCTCCACTAGTAACATCAGAGCATCTACTCTTTGACTAAATTTGAAGTCACTTTTGCAGAACAAAAACTTTTACAGCAAAATTCACCCCAGTGCAGAGGACCCACACAAGGTACTACTTAAGCCCCATGTTAAGGTGGCAAACTGTGGCCTCTTCTCCGTGCAGCGTGCCCAGCGTGTAGTGGAAGAGGTGCAGATTTGCTATGTAGGGGACAGGGTTTGTGAGGACATGTAGATCCTAGGGATACAGAGCTAGGGATACAGAGCTTAGCTCTCCAGGGGAACCTGGCATGGCTTCAGGCTGGGGCAGATGGGAGTGTAGGAGGGATATGGCAGGGTGGGTGAATCTGCTGCTAGTCATTGCCACGTTGTCACCAGGACATGGGGGCAATACAGTATCAGGGCTGCAGTAACTCTGCAGGCTGGTGAATGGAGAAGGATTCCCTCTTCTGCCAGCTTCCAGGATTCAGACAGAAAAGATGTACAGGCCATGGACAGTCACCCAGGGCTGGGGTGAATTCTAAACAGAATTATGATATGCAACCAAAGAGAGCACAGAGTCACCCACAGAAGCCCCTTTTGTTGCTAAGCTATAGGGATTAAGTAATATATATGTGTATGTGTATGTGTGTGTATATATATATATATATACATATATATATATATATATATATCATAAACATTCACACATTCAATAGAGTGATAATGTGAAATAGCTAGAATATTATTGGCATTTGCATATAGTCACTTCAGCAAGTTGCTCTTGGAAGAGAGGACTCTGAGAAAACCTTCATTCTATCTTCTTGAGGGCACTGCAAAGAGTTCCCATCTCACCTGCACATGAAATAGCAAAAATCAGTGTTTGTCCTGTTAGTCTTACAGCCTGTTCTATACATTTCAGTGGAACTTCAGCACAGCCATATTTTCATTCCCTGAAAGAATGAGACCAAAGAGGTGGGTGATAGACTGGGCACATTAACTTAAATGGATGTTTTGTATGAGCACAGACAGCAGGATCAGCCCTTATATCTGGAGTTTTATCAGCCATAGATGCTGTGTAAGATCAGGGATGCTGGCTCTGAGCAGTCCAGCCAGTCAATTGGAAAGAACTGCTCATCCTGGAACGATGAAAGAAAATCCAAATGGTCTAAGGCTGTGAATATCCCCTTTTCCTCACTGGGGGCAGAGAGAGCCACAACTTTGGTTTCATCCTCCTGCGTTATCACCAACCAGTCCTCCAAACTTTGCCAAAGCCCTCCAGCAAAAGGAATAACATCAAGATGTGATATTTCCAATATAAAAAGCAAACAATAAAGTGGGCAAACTTCTTTGGGGGACGGGTGAAATTAGGAAGCAGTTTTTATACACCATAAAGGAAATATTTAGGACCTGATCAAATTCCCACTGGAGTGAGAATCAGGTCTTTAATGGAGACAGGAGAAAAACACTTCTCCCCATTCAAGTCCTAGCTTTTGAGGAATCTAATATAACAAAACTGCAATTGCTTACTGCTGATGGACTCAGCTAAATTCTTCAACTGCTTTGCATTGTCCAAGACTTCAATTCTCTGGGTGTATGGATTGTAGCGAACCGAGAAAGGTCGAGGGATTGTTGAAGCAAATCTCCTGAAGGAGAAAAGACAAACACTTTTATGAAAACAACTGTTTCTTTTTAAGTAACCTGCTCCTTTGAGTTGGGAGGAGCTTTTATTGATGTGAAGGATAGGGAAGCCAATGTGGTAAAGTAACTAAAGACCTACTCCGTGACTAGGCAGCAACAGTATTCTCCAATGCTTTAGCAATATCCTTGAGGCTGACCTGGGAGGCTTTCCTATAGGTGTGTCATTTATTAACCACCCTTCATTTTTTCAAACAGACCCCATTATGCAGTATTTACCATGCTATTATAGGAGTAATACTGGCTGCTGCTGATTTAACCCAGTGAGCAGGTGTCAGCATTTCCCAGACTTTAAATCCCCGTTTTCCTATTACTAATGCAGAATGTGATTCACTTTTGCAGAATGTGATCCACTTTTGCAGTCCTTGGGGTTGCAGAGCTTGACATGCATTAGAGCAATCTCAGAGCTTGTCTAACTTCTGATAGCTGGTAGCAGCCTCCAAGGTGCTGGAAAGCCGGTCAGAGATCACTGGAGCGCAGTTTCATTCTGGCCACACTTTTTTCTCAGCCTTGCCAGGGGAGTCCTCAGCTGTGGGATTAGGGTTGCTTTACAGCCTCTTGGTCTGGCACTTATATACTGGAGCTGAAGATCTGGTCCAATAATTGTGGCAGAACACCTGTCATTTGCCAAAGCTCTCTCACTGAAGTTATACCAGATTAATAACTTGCCTTGGAAAATGGCTGTGCTTCTCAAGTCACCTACAGCTCTGTTACTTCAAAAAGTTTGAGAGACAAAGAATGGGAGACTCAAGGGCTAGGTAATAGGCTACCAAGACCGAGGGCCTCATGTACTCTGTGGTAAAGCTGGACCAAATTCTACAGCAGCAACTCCTGTGTAAATTTATTCTATCAAATTTATTCTATAAATAAAGTCCTTCATTCCCACCCCCCACAAATGCACACAGTTATGGCTCATAGTTGAATATTGACATAAAATTTGTTGATGATTATGTTCAGCCATGCATATTTCTGGGCATAGGTGTTTTCCTCTATCCTTTCCAGGTGGCCAGCTCCACTCTTTGGGCCGTGGCTTCCACAATGTCCAGGCAACCCAACTCCAGAGGCAAACACCTGCATGCGGCTGTGGTAAACGGGCACAAACAATGGAGCATGTCATATCTGAATGTCCCCGGGGGGTCTGAAGGACATTCACCAGCTCATTGCTGTGGCAATGTATTGGCAATCAAATCTAGATATAAATTTGTAGTCATTGCTACCTATCCAAGCCATAAAAAGAAGAAGAAACTCCAGATTGAATTCAGGCCACGTTAGTAGTGACTGAAGCCACAATCCCACCCGAAGTCTTTATGGGTTGCCCCCCTGTGTTCATGTGGAGCTCTGCACAGAACCGTGGCCTAAACATATTATTGTGTGATGGCTAGTCAGTGGTCTATAAGACAAAGGTTGGTGGTCCTTCTGGGCAAGTGTCAACATTCTAGGAAAAAGAATGTTCCTTCCAGATCTCAGTAAGAGGCCCAAGGGCTTCACTAGAAGTAGGAAACCTTAGCTCAGACACAGAATGCTGACTAAAAAAACAAGTCATTATGCAAGGTAGCCTGTTTCCTCTTGTTTTTTCCTACCCCCCCCCCCAGATGTTCTGGTTTAACTTGGATTTAAACTTGGAGAGTGGTCAGTTTAGATGAGCTATTACCAGCAGGAGAGTGAGTTTGTGTGTGTATGGGGGTGGGGGGGATGTGAGAAAACCTGGATCTATGCAGGAAATAGCCCGACTTGATTATGTAAAGAGTTGTCACTTTGGATGGGCTAGCACCAGCAGGAGAGTGAATTTGTGTGGGGGGATGGAGGGTGAGAAAACCTGGATTTGTGCTGGAAATGGCCCACCTGTTGATCACTTTAGATAAGCTATTACCAGCAGGACAGTGGGGTGGGAGGAGGTATTGTTTCATATTCTCTGTGTGTATATAAAGTCTGCTGCAGTTTCCACGGTAAACATCTGATGAAGTGAGCTGTAGCTCATGAAAGCTCATGCTCAAATAAATTGGTTAGTCTCTAAGGTGCCACAAGTACTCCTTTTCTTTTTGCGAATACAGACTAACACGGCTGTTCCTCTGAAACCTAAAAAAACAAAGGCAGTCTGTGACCACAGTCTCCCTTGTATTCACACTGTTCTAATTATTTTTGTACAAAATATGCCTTGTGAGGTACCATTTGAAAACTAAGAACTCACTGATCAATAATATCATGGGGAAAAGGCATGTAGCAACATGATATGTAAAGTTATGAAATTCCCCTGAATAAAATTATTGGCACATGTTCTAAAACACACAGCTCTGCCCAGGCAGAAGTATACTGAATAAAAGAAATGTGTGTTTACCTCAGTAATACATATAAGTATTAAATAAGGTCCTCAACACAGCAGGGGGAGGAGATGGCAGGCAACAAAGCAAATTAGCATTTCAGCAAACACGTTTGAGAAGAAAGTACATGGAGCCTCCTTCACCACCAGACTTAATGTCACCTTTTTTACTGTTTGAATAAACTTTGCCTTGAGGAGTAACTCTCAGAAGAATCCACTTCAAAGGTTAACTGGACTATGAAAGAAAGGGGCAGAAAACCCCAAGGTATCTCTCTCTTTCTCACCTAAGATGACAAAAGAACCAGACCATTGACATTGAGGGGAGATTCCGACCTGAGATTTTGGTCATCCATATTGCTGGGAATGTGTGTGAGGATTTTACTTTGAATGAAGTGTAGCTTGTTAAGTTTTAGCTACTAAGAAAGAGTTTTATTTTTATTTCTCTTCTAACCATAGTACTTGATACTTGAATTCACTTAAAATCCTATCTTGTTTTGTTAATAAACTTGTTTTATTTTTAATCTGAACCAATTCAGTGCTGTGTTTAAATTGAACTGTTTGGTAACTCCAGTTAAAGTAGCAAACTGTTGAATACTGACCCTTTACAGGGGCAATGGACCTTTAATATCTGAACTGTCCAGGAGAGGGCTGGACAGTGCAGAATACATGCTTTTGGGAAAATTTGGAACTGGGAGTGTGTTGGGGTCACCCTGAAAGTAGTAACCCAGACTGGCGGAAGCCACAGTGTGACTGGGGTGTTGCTGACAGGTTGCTGGGGTCAGAGCTGTTGGATCAAGGCTGTAGCTATGCACACACACACTCTGCGTGAGACCTTCATGCTGGCAGGCTGTTTGTAAGTGGCCTACTTTTGAAGCTACAACAGTAAAGTATTGTAAGGCACCCATGGTTACAGGGCAGGCAGTGACACAATCTCTCTCTGGTCTGGATTGTACCCCAGATGTGACACAGTCCCATGAAGGAAATAGGCAATTATCTTATTTCGGTGTAAAGCCCAATTTTGAAATATATACATGAGGCGTAAGATAAATAATAAACAATAATAGTTATTTTTATTATTAAGGGTTTCCATTGTGGAATAAAAGGGGAAAAGATTTGAGCAGCAGATGAAGCTACTGAGCAGAACCAGAAAAGAATAGCTGTTGTGAAAGGAGAACATGGCCCAGGGATTTTGTTGTTAGCCTCAACTACAAGAAGCCAAGGCTTGACAGGGCATTGAGACTGAACTATTCTCTCATCCCTAGAAGGGATTTTCCCAGGATGTGATTGGTAGAGTAGCATCACTGCCTACGTCACACTCTTCTGAGAAAAACTGAAGACTTCAGCCTTCAGGGCTATCAAGCTGACTACAGAACACATTCAAACAGTCCTCTTATGCAGAGCAAAAGCTGAAAGAAGCTTTTAAAAGCCAGACCAGAAGTCTTAAACTTCAAGACTTCAGAGAACATGCTCCTCAGCTGCAGGGGTCCACAAAGGCCTCAGGGAGGTATGTGTGTGTGTGTAAGATATTGCCTATAATGGCGAAATGATTATTTTACCTTACTTTTTCCTTGGCATTTTTAAAACTTTCAGCAACATAGTAAACAGGCTGGAACTCAGTGACTGGGTATTTCTGGACTGCAGTCTTCTCCAGGTTAAGGGATTGAATTTCAGGTTTATCTGATAAACAGTACTGTATGGAAAGAGTGAGAGATTTCTTTCCATTAAAAAGTGGTTTTGTTTGAATAACGAAGGAGGACAATGTTACTTAGATATGCACATGTTCAGTTATTCAGGACCTGCTCTTCCTCCCATTGAAGTCAAAAGGAATTTGACCATTGAGTTCAAAGTGAGGCAGAACAGGCCCTAAATGAAGATAATGATCCATTTATGAAATATGACTTCTATGCAATATAACAGATTCACAGATTCTAAGGCCAGCCCTCCTGTTTAACACAGGCCATGGAACTTCCCCAAATCTGTTTGAATTAGAGCCGATTTTTTAGCAAAAACATCCAATCTTGATATACTAATTGCTAATGATGGTGAATCCATCACTATCCTTGGTGAGTTGTTCCAATGGTTAACTATCTTCACTGTTCAGTTCTGTGCCTTATTCCAGTCTGAATTTGTCTAACTTCAATTTCCAGGCATTGGTTCGTGTTACACCTTTCTCTGCTAGATTGAACAGCCCACTATCAAATATTTGTTCTCCCCATAAATACTTAAAGACTGTCAACTCACCCCTTAACTGTCTCTTTGATAAGCTAAATAGATTGAGTTTCTTGAGTCTATCACTATAAAGCTGTGGTCCCCAAACTTTTGAGAGTCATGTCCACCTTTGCCCCTGTCTGCACCTGCCCCAGGGCAGGGAGCGGGGCAACGGCTCCAGGAGGGAGGACACACGGATGGGGTAAGGGGACCGAGGCTGGGGCTGAAGCTGGGGGTGGGTCTGGGGCTGGGAGTGGGGCCATGGACAGGGGTCGAGGCTGGTGGAGGTAGTGGGAGTAGAGCCGCAGACTGGCTGCGGTGGGGGCTGGCAGCCAGGCCCATAGCTAGGTGCAGCTCTACTCCCAGCCTTGCCCCCAGCCTTGGCCCCAGACCGGGAATGGAGCCAGGGCCAACAGCTCACACTGGGGGCTGGCACGGGGCTGGGAGCACAACCATAGTAAGGTTGGGGATGGGGCCAAGTGCAGAGCCGGGAGCCAGGGATGTGGCTGGGGGTGGGACCAGAGGAGAGCTGGGGGCGGGGAGGGGCTGAGTGGTACTCCCTCCCATGTGGGGTGGCCCGGACCCTGCTGCACTCCCAGACATTTCTCCATGCCCCCCTGGGGATCCTGTCCCCCACTTTGAGACCCTCTGCTATAAAGCACATTTTACAATACTTTAATCATTCTCATAACTCTTCTCTGAATCCTCTCCAATTTATTGACTTCCTTCTTTAATTGAACTGAATACAGCATTTCAGTAACAGTTGCACCAGTGCCTAACACAGAGGTAATATAACCTCCTTACTCCTATTCAAGACTCCAAGCATTACTTTAGCCTTTTCGTTCACAGCATCACACTGGGAGCTCATGTTCAGCTGATTGTCCACCATGACCCCCAGTCTTTTTCAGAGTCATTTCCCAGTCCTCCACCCTGTAAGTATGGCCTGCGTTCTTTCTTTCTAGATGTATGGCTTCACATTTGGCTGTATTGAATTATAGTACTCCATTTAATTCAATCTGGATGCACAGCACTGGAAGATACAGTAACATTTACATAAGAAACACGTAATCAAAAAAACCCATGAATCATGTAGCTATTATGACGTTATTGGGAACAAACCTGCAACTCTCCAAATGAAGACAGCAGCCCAGCACCATAGGCCTTTATTGCATCACCTTCTTTACAGAGTCCAAATTCCACCGTAAACCAATAGACCTAACATGAATATTAGACAGAAATAGATGATTCTCTAAGCAAACACTATCTGACCATGAGGCACTGATTTTTAAGTATTTGGAACTTACATTTGCTAGATAAAGTTAGTATTTAAACCATAGCTACATAGATAAAGTTTTAAAATAAAGACTGTTTTAAAATGGTTCATTTTTACTGAACAGATCTGCTCTTCTTTCAGTGAAATTCACCCCTTTGAAGAGGGTCAGCACTAGGTCTACGTTTCACTTACATCCTACTTAAGCCATCCAAATAGCCATGTGTGTATCCAGATCTGCTTACTTTCCTGACAGAATAAGTTATTTTTTACAGCCTTTATATTTGTTGGCAGAACAGAGCCAGAGAGAGAAATGGATTGTAATATGGATTGTCAATCATTGACAAATGTTGAGTTTTGTTCCCTTAGTGAAACAAATTGTTTCCTGTTTCACATGTAGGGCACCAAGATATTACAGAGACAGGGGAGAGCAAAAGAGACTAAATTGTTAGCAGAACCCTGACAATTGCTTATGGTTCGGCTTGGAAGGAGCAGATTTTTATCAGTAAATGTTGGTAAACATCAATTTCACTGTACATGCACAAGGCAAAGAAAAAATATTTCCAAAGATAACAATTGAAATTTACAGATCGGTGGAGTAAGAAAAATGCTGCCTGAGAACTTACTAGAGTTTGATTTAAGAATATTTACTTTGTATATTTTGACATGTGATGTTAACACTTTGCATTTTTCAATCTTAATGTCTACTACTGTCATTAAATAATTGTCCCCCCCCCATTATTTCCCACTTCTGTGAAAATTTAAATAGACAAAAAATGAAAAAGTTTAAAAAACAGAATTTTGTGCAACTGTGAAAATTTAAATGTTTAAAATGCTTAAAAATCAATATCAATATTAGCAGTCAAATTTATAAAAGAAACAAATGAAAGTGGAATTCTGCCAAACCTACTTATGCTGCTTAAGCTAGAAAGAACACAGCTTGACTTTCAGCTGGAATTCATAGAGCTCTGGGTCTCAGCTCTCCCACAGTAGGGCATGAGTAACTCCCATTGACATCACAGGGAGTTATTTGTACCATAGGGTGGAAGAGCAGAGTCCTTGGCCAGTAGAACAGCTGTCACAGCTGTCTCCTCCTGCACATTTGCAGGAGAAATGAAGTAACTGCAGTATCTCCTTACCAGAAAGGGTCCAGCTAGAGCAACTATACTCTGGCTTTTCTTGTTTAATCACAACTGTCAAGTCAATAAGGCTCTGATAGGATAAGCTTTCTTATTATCCATTAAAGCAAGTGTTTACCGGTGGGATTTTCCAAAGTGCTTATAATTGGCCTAATTTTGCTTCCATTAAAGTCAGTGGGAATTCCACCACTGACTTCAGTGGAAGCAGAATTAGGCCAGCCCTCCACCCCAGATCTTCAAAAGGTATTGAGGCACTTCACCCATTGAAGTCCATGGGAATCAGGTGCCTAAATAACTTCTGAAGATCTGGGCCTGAGAGCTTTGCAAAATCCCATCCTAATATATTAAATTACCGTAGCAAGTTTCTCAATGTATTCATCCGGCGCTCCCAAGGATGCAAGTCCAATTTCCTGCAATAATAAATCATTGTTCTTCAAGCTGTTTAGTGCAAACATTGCTTCTAATATGCCTTATTTCATTGTTCACTTTTTAATTACCATCTAGCACCACCACACACAAATGTTAACAGGGCACCTTACCCTAGTGCACCAGCAATTGTTAACCAGAAGTCCCTATGGAAGTTAATGAGGGTCTCTGTCTAAATTTCATTTGCATGGTGTGACCCATTGGACCTGGCATGTAGCCCATTTCCACTGACTTCAATAGGCTTTGGATCAGGCCAACAGTAAGCAACCAGCAGAATCTTACAATAAAAAGATGATAAGTCAACCACAAAGCAGATACTTTAAATATTTATCATTGTTCTGGTGGACCCTGGTGGAAAGTGAACATAAGAACATAAGAACGGCCATACTGGGTCAGACCAAAGGTCCATCTAGCCCAGTATCCTGTCTTCTGACAGTGGCCAATGCCAGGTGCCCCAGAGGGAATGAACAGAACAGGTAATCATCAAGTGATTCATCCCCTGTCGCCCATTCCCAGCTTTTGGCAAACAGAGGCTAGGGACACCATCCCTGCCCATCCTGGCTAATAGCCATTGATGGACCTATCCTCCATGAACTTATCTTGTTCTTTTTTGATACCTGTTATAGACTTGGCCTTCACAACATCCTCTGGCAAGGAGTTCCACAGGTTGACTTTGCGTTGTGTGAAAAAAGAATTCCTTTTGTTTGTTTTAAACCTGCTGCCTATTAATTTCATTTGGTGGCCCCTAGTTCTTGTGTTATGAGAAGGAGTAAATAACACTTCCTTATCTACTTTCCCCAAGCCCGTCATGATTTTATAGACCTCTATCATATCCCCACTTTGTCATCTCTTTTCCAAGCTGAAAAGTCCCAGTCTTATTAATCTCTCCTTACACGGCAGCCATTCCATACCCCTAATCATTTTTGTTGCCCTTTTCTGAACCTTTTCCAATTCCAATATATCTCTTTTGAGATGGGGCAACCACATCTGCACGCAGTATTCAAGATGCGGGCATACCATGGATTTATATAGAGGCAATATGATATTTTCTGTCTTACTATCCATCCCTTTCTTAATGATGCCCAATATTCTGTTCACTTTTTTGACTGCCACTGCACATTGTGTGGATGTTTTCAGAGAACTATCCACAATGACTCCCAGATCTCTTTCTTGAGTAGTAACAGCTAACGTAGACAACTCATTTCATATGTATAGCTGGGATTATGTTTTCCAATGTGTGTTACTTTGCATTTATCAACATTGAATTTCATCTGCCATGTTGTTGCCCAGTCACCCAGTTTTGACAGATCATTTTGTAGCTCTTTGCAGTCTGCCTGGAACTTAACTATCTTGAGTAGTTTTGTATCATCTGCAAATTTTGTCACCTCACTGTTTACCCCTTTTTCCAGATCACTTATGAATATGCTAAATAGGACTGGGCCCAGAACAGAGCCCTGGGGGATACCACTATTTATCTCTCTCCATTCTGAAAAAACTGACCATTTATTCCTACCCTTTCTTTCCTATCTTTTAACCAGTTACCAATCCATGAGAGGACCTTCCCTCTTATCCCATGACAGCTTATTTTGCTTAAGAGCCTTCAGTGAGGGACCTTGTCAAAGGCTTTCTGGAAATCTAAATACACTATATCCACTGGATCTCCTTTGTCCACATGCTTGTTGACCCCCTCAAAGAAGTCTAGTAGATTGGTGAGGCATGATTTCCCTTTACAAAAACCATACTGACTCTTCCACAACAAATTATGTTCATCCAGCTGTCTGACAATATTGTTCTTTACTGTAGTTTCAACCAGTTTGCCCGGTACTAAAGTCAGGCTTACTGGCCTGTAATTGTCAGGGTCACCTCTGGAGCCATTTTTAAAAATTGGCGTCACATTAGCTATCCTCCAGTCATTTGGTACAGAAGCTGATTTAAATGATAGGTCACAAACTACAGTTAGTAGTTCTGCAATTTCACATTTGAGTTCCTTCAGAACTCTTCGGTGAATACCATCTCGTTCTGGTGACCTATTACTGTTTAGCTTATCAATTTGTTCCAGAACCTCCTCTAATGACACCTCAATCTGGGACAGTTCCACAGATTTGTCACCTAAAAAGCGCTTCCCCATAAGCTCATATGAAATGGTTCCAGATGCTAGGGACACAGTGTGAAAAGAACCTACTCTTATCTCAGGAGCTAACTGTGATTTTGAACCACAGAGACATCCACATGGGTGTAAAATACCCAAAGTGCAGAAAAAAATACAAGCCCAACTCAAGAATGTGTATAGCTAACTTGCTCTAAAACACAGACTGCATGCTGCAGAGTCAAAGGCTATGTCCTCACTGCAAAAAAAGAGGGCTATCTTGATGTAAAATCCTAGCAGGAGACAAGGCAGAGGCTGCTTTTGCCTCGATGTAGCTAGTCAAGGTAAACCCCAGGGCTGTGGGAGTGTGTGCACATGTGGGGGTTGGGGGACTTAGGGGTAACAGGGTTGACCTCCACTTACTACACCAAGGTAAAGACTATCTGTGCCTTGTTTCAGCTAGGATTTACACTGATTTAGTTATCTTGATGTACAAACACACCCCTTGTTGCAGTGAAGATATAGCCAAAAGCTCAGTCCCTTCCTGAGGTTTGGTGTGATTAACAGAGAAATTAAAAATTAACAACATACAATACAAAGTAGCAGCTCAAATTTTCTCCACCAGGTTTGACGGCTCTGAGGGTTCCAATCTTACCTCACCTCAGCTACTCTGACGCCCAAGTCACTCCAACTCCTGAATATCAGAGTGGGGTAACAAGTCATCTGACTCAGATACCATTTAACCCTTTCTAAGCAGGATTAACACCTGCTAAGAGGGTGTTAGGCGAACACTATCAGCCTGTTACAAGGGATATGGATTCAAAACCCAAAACTACACAACAATGAAATCTATATTTTGTATACACTCGGGTTTTTTGCGTGAACTAAGTCTAATTTTTTAAACAATAAATAAAACAGGTCCTACTTAAATGTATGTAAAGCAAAATTTTAAATCACATTACATACTTTGCATCACAGATAAGCCTATGTGCTTCAACTCTGACTGAAGGGATCACTTCTGGGAGACAGGGGAGTGCATTTTCTATGCCCATTCAGTTCTTAGCAACTTTGTTGAATCTGCCAATGCAGCTGCCAATTAATATTATGTTTACCTGTCCATAAAGAACTAGACCTTTTCACATAAATTGCTGAACAGCAGACAGACAATAAATATTTGTTTCTACATGGGAAACTGACTCACCTGACCTCAACTAGATTTGAAACAATAAGTTAGAAGTTGAAAGCTCCGTAACCCTTTACTAACTTTCTGAATTATCCAGTTTCTGGCATTGTAAGTTACAATGATAGAGTAATGTATGCACTTACCTGGGAAAACTGAGCAAAGCTAATGTCAGCAAACAGAGGTACATGTCCTAGGAGCTCATGGCAAACATCACTAGAGAAAATAAGCTGTATGAATTAACTTTATTTCAAAAAAAAGTGTAGACACACTAGTGTCAGAGTCTCTCCATGTGTACAGAGAAGAAATCATATTAGAGAGAAATGCCCAAGATCCAGAGGGAAAGGAATTTCTATCTCAGGTACTTCTGGAGCCCACACTACTGTGCTATCTGGGTCTCTCACAATTTATAACAAATTTATGCTCACAACAGCCGTGTGAGGAAGGGAAGTACTATTTCCCATATTTCACAGAAGAGGCGCTAAGGCCTGGGGAAACTAAGTGATTTGCCCAAGGTCACACAGGCACTTTGTGGTGAAGCAGGGAATTGGGAGCAGATCTCCCAAATCCTAGGCTAGTGCCCTAGCCACTGGACCATTCTCCCTTTTCATTTTTTTAACAATAATCACTGCTAACAGCTGAAGAAGGGAACAGTAAAGCAAATCTTGGCCGTAAGTAAAATATACCTTGTATATTCAGCCCTGCACAGAGAAGCAGCTCAAGACCTATGCACCACTTAAATCCCACACAATAAGTGCAGAGGCTTTATGCCAGCTCTTTGCACAGGATGAACATAACTCTCTTTGAATTCCTGGGCCAAGTTCCTGAAGCCAACACCTGTAGGTGTAAACTATACCTTCCTGCACCACCCTGGGCCCCTGCAACCCAGAGGGAATTCTCCCTGCGGGAGGAGATGCTGTGTTGGAGTTTTTACCCTCACATGGACTTTTCAGCCATGGAAGTAGGGGACAGCTTTAGTTTATCATGTGGCCTCACAGGAAGCAAGCTGACTGGGCTGTTGAGGGGATGCACTTTGGAATCTGCCTGGCCAAGCCTGCTTTGACCTTTGCCACTCACTTCTTGTGCTGCTGCAGCCTTCCGCTGGCAGACTTCCCTTCACACTCCTACACATGTGGCGGTTTGCCAAAGCTGCAATTCTTGTGCTTAAAGCTCCCAGATGGCCAGAGCATGTGTTTCAGGGAGAGCGGGACTAGGGGTTGCTGGTAGTTGGAAAGGCAGAGAAGAAGTTGTGTGGGGGTGTGCAGCTTTGCCATATCCCTGGCAGAAAGGATTGGGTGGGAGAGAAAAGTAGAATAGGAAGGAAGAAGGAAAGAGGGAGGAGGAGGAGATTCTCCAGGCAGCACAGGGGCTGTGGAAGACTCTCTATACAACTCTGAATGGACATGCAGGGGAACACGGTAAATTGTGCATAGCAGAGCAGGGCTCCACATAGATCATCATGGAGGGAAGTGGAGTAGTGCAGGCTAGGGACAGGGAGGTGGCCAGTGAGTCTGAGTTATGAGGCATCAGTGGCCCCAAACCCCTGTGAAAGGAGAGAACAGGGTTCACATCCACTATTGCAGAGCCGGGACTGGAGTAATGGCTCTTGAGGGACTGTGAAGTTGCCTTCAATTTGCAGGTGGGGTTGTGTGGGAGGATAACACCCACTGCACAAAATGGTTGAACTCTGGTTTTGTGCAAGGGAAGGAGACAAATTTAACCTAGACTGAGAAGAAATGAGAGAGGGAAGAAAGAAGAATGAAGTGAGGAAAAATGGAGGGAAAGGAGGAAGTGAAGAGAGGAGTAGGAAGTAAAGAAATAAAGGGGAAAGGAGAAACAGAAAAAAACCCAGATTTTTTTTAAAGAAAAAGAGAAAGAAAATAAACACAAGGTAGAGTTAGCAAGACCAAAGGAAAAATGGAGAGAGAGAGAGAGAGCATTAAAGATGGAGATGAAAGGAGGCGAGAAAGGCATAAAGGAATGTAAATGTGGCAAGAAGGAAGAATAAGAGATCTCTGATAGTCAGTTAGTGATGCTGTTCAGTTCAAGAAGGGCTAGCAGAGGAGGGGACAGCTTGCAGAGACAGAGCTACACTCTCTCGCTAAGGAGACTAGAAATCCCTTCTAAAATGTTCAGCTGAGAGCAACAATATAATGTGGATACCTCAATATGGCACAGGGTCATGCTTTGCCATGAGGATGGTATGTTATTAATAGGGCCCTACCAAATTCATGGCCATGAAAAACGCGTCACGGGCCGTGAAATCTGGTCTTTTGTGTGCTTTTACCCTATACTCTACAGATTTCATAGGGGAGACCAGTGTTTCTCAAATTGGGGGTCCTGGCCCAAAAGGGAGTTGCAGGGGTCATGGTTTTGCCACCCTGACTTTTGCGCTGCCTTCAGAGCTGGGTGGCTGGAGAGCAGTGGTTGTTGGCCAGGCGCCCAACTCTGAAGGCAGAGGCAGTAGCAGCACAGAAGTAAGGGTAGCTGTACCGCAACCCCCCCCACAACTCCTTTTAGGATCAGGACCCCTACAATTACAACACTGTGGAGTTTCAGATTTAAATAGCTGCAACCATGACACTTATGATTTTTAAAATCCTATGACCGTGAAATTGACCAAAATGGACTGTGAATTTGGTAGGGCCCTAATTATTAACATTAGTATTAACTGCAGTTATTATTTACTAACCCAACTGCATAGTTAACCTCTGCAGTTTATGCAGCCCTGTTTACCTTCAGTGCCAAAGTACTTACGGTTCTGGTGTGTACATTGGTTTAGATCCATGGCGGATGTACTGCGTAGAGTGAAACACTCTAAATGCCAAACCAGCCAGGAAATCCCGAGAAGACAGCAGGCCAGCCACAGGGCGTAAGCGGAATCCAGTGCAGGCTTTAGGGAGAAAAAGGGTCCATTTAAAAAAGTCCATTGGACTTGGTTTATGCCTCTCCTTTGGGTCCTGGGAACTGGACAGAGCTTTGCATCAGTTTTCTCTCTTAATTATAAGCTTGGGTACCAAATAGTGGAGAACTCCCTACCTGCCTAAGGAACTTACATGGACACCGTCATCACAGTATCTCTGTGCCTCACAGTCTTTAATAAATTCATCCTCGTCACATGCCTGTAAGGTAGGGGAGTTCTTTTATCCCTACTCTATTATCCCTATATGGTCCTGCTTTGAGCAGGGGGTTGGACTAGCTGACCTCCTGAGGTCCCTTCCAACCCTGATATTCTATGATTCTATTTCACAGGTGAGGCCCTGAGGCAGAGAGTAACTAAATGATTTTCCTAAGGTCACACAAAGTCTGTGGCAGAGCAGGAAATTTAACCTAGGGCTCTCAAGTCTCAGACTAACACCCTAACAGCTGGACCATCCTTCTTCCCTATTGGGCTATTTTAACACAAACATACTTTGCAAGAATCTTGAAACGTCTTCAAGTTGTGGAATATTATCCTCCTGGTAGCCACAGTATTTTTCCAGTAGCGGAAACACGTGGTTGTGTTCATAGCAAGCGTGAGTTGGATAGAGAGTCTTCAGCTCCCTGAAGACTATGCCCCACGTTTTCTTTTCTTCCTCTGTGTAAGTCACTTTAGGAATAGGCTGCCCACTGTAAAGCAAAGAGCATTTTTAATCCACAGTGAAATGGATACACCTTAAACCAGCAATATAAAGAAGTGTGTTGTGTCACCGACATCTGTGCTTGTATTACCACCTGGAGCTGGACAGGAGTTGGTGCGAGTGACGAAAATCCCTCTTCTCATATACAGCAGGAGAGAAAACAATGTGATGGAATAACTCTACTGAATTCAGTTGAGCTACGCTGTCATTTAGATCGTACACTCTTAAGGGCAGAGGTTGTCTCTTCCCCTGTGTTTGTTCACTGCCTGGCACAATGGGGGCCTGATCTCAGTTGCAGCCTTTTGGTTCCAGTGTCGCAAAAATAAACTGTGTTTATTTTGCTGCTGCTGCTGATCTGCTAGCAAAATTCACTGGCTGCTGTCTTTCATTGATTTTCCTTTATTGATGTGCGGAAGGTTGTTGCATTTCATGCCTATTGATTTGTTCTGACGTTCCTACTGTGGTCAGGAAAACATCAGTTCTGAAGATGCACAGCTCTTACTGGTTTAAGTATCTTGGAGATGTTCCTAATCATCACTAAATGCAGATTTTGGTAAATTTGATTTAAAAAAATGAATAACCCCTGGGTCAAATTCTGCCTCAATCACATGTTCATGGAGCTCATGCTGATGTTAACAAGAGTTAGGCACCATGAACCATGAATTTGGCCCTATTGCCTTGGAATTAATCGGGGGGAGGAAGATTCCTTAGCAATAAAGAAAAGGGCCATAGGTGAATCCCCCAGCTTTTAAAATCAAAGAGTTTAAGCAACTTAATACTACTGGAATAATGCGAGGGCTTTCCAAGCCCCGAGATTCATTGTTAAACTCCAGTGATACCCCACCGCCTCCCACTCTCTCATTTTAACTTCGGCCTGGGGGCAGCTCCCCAGTAACTCTGTAATTTTCTGCCTGTGTGCATCAGTCCTCCTTGATCTATGGAGCTTTAAACATGCTCTTGAATTATTAAGATTGCTGGGGGACCACTGCTGTTCCTACAGCACTCATTGTTCCTAATTAATCTTTGGGCCACCTTCACAGGGCTGGAGAAGGAAGCAGAGGCTTAGCGCACTTTCAGATATCAATCAAAAGGTCCCAGAGATCAATAGGGCAGGGACTAGGGAAGGAAGCAAGAGAAAAGGGAGCCAAAAGCAAGGGAGAGGGAAGGCAGGGAAGTAGGAATTCACGCTGGGGAAGGATAAGAATAAAATGAAAAAAGAAAAAGGAGCAAAGGAGAGGAGAAAGTCAAACAAGCAGCAGATATGGGCAGAAAAGACACGCCAGGGGAAAGCAACAGGCTGGGGAGGGGGGGAAGAGATCAAAGGAAAAGAGGACAAGAGAGCGTGAATCCGTTCATTACATGGCTGTCCCACTTCGTGTAGCTGATTTTTAGAGGTAATGGCACCTGGATTTTATAGTTACCCTTTAAAGGCCCATCAACCTTCCCATCAACCCCAACAAGCTCCAAGTTCACAGGGGACCTTCTGTGCCTGGATCTGCCCCTTTTTACACAGATGGGAACTCAGCTGCCTTCATAGCACTGTTTCTCACTCCTCTGCTGAACCTGCAACAGGGCATCTCTGCAGGGCTCAGGGTCTGAGCGTGCGGTTACTGGGTGGCTGGCTGGCTGGCCCAGGGTGGGTCCAGAGGGGTCTACACAGTGTCCCTTCTTCTTTGTGAAGAATCCAAAAAAAGCCAAATTTCTTTGCCATCTTGTCACTGTTCTATTATTATTCTATTATTTAAAAGCATGGAGCTCAAGAACTCCTGATAGAATACGAAGTAAACGCATAAAATCCCAGCCCGGTCTGTCTCCCGATATGGACACATCTTAGTAATACTGTGGGGTCTCATCCTCCAAACTTGTTTCAGGTTTGGTAATAGCTATTTTTGATACTTGTTCTATCATTTTTATATAAAATTTGGCTGAAGTCTGCAAAGTAAGGGACAAATTCTGCTCTCAGTTACAAAGGCTACAATTCCACATATTCCTGTAAGTGGGGATGTATCTCTGTAACTAAGATCAGAACCTGGCCATATAGGCTTACCCAAACTTTCTAGCCAGCAAGCAGGTTCCTCTCTGATTTCTTTGACTCCTTTCAAGTAATTAAACAGAGAGGTTGCATCTTTTGTTTTGTAACTTAGATTGTAAGCGCTTTGGGGCAGGGACTGTCTTTCTGTTCTGTGTTTGTACAACAGCCTGAACAGTGGGACCCTAAGTGAAATTAATACAATAAAATAATAATAATAATGGTTTAAAAATCATGAAACACGTGGTCTAATCCTTTGAAGTCAAAGAGAGCCTTACCATTGACTGCAAGGGTTGGGCCCACTAGGTATAATATAAAAGCGTGAATGACTTTGGGGGAGAGTTTTAGTTCCTATTGTCATTCAAATTTGACCGTGAACAGAAAAAGAAATAAAAAGCAGAAAACAAAATGAAGTCTATCCTAGGGAAGTGGATCTGCTGGATTTGTTTATTTTGCTTGTGAAATGAGAACCTAAATTGCTCAATGCAGCTGGATCAGACATGATAAAAGTAGAGTAACAAGCACTGGATTAACAAGAGGACCATAAGTTATTCATTATTTTAATAGTGTGTGCAGCTCCTTTAATGTAAAATATATACACTCTCCCCCTCTCCACTGTTTAATATGGAGAATACCAGAAGCTGCATTATTCAGTGCTCAGGTCTTTGTAGTAGCATGTGATACTGTTGTACAATTAGACAACAAAGCTTGGTGCTGGAGTGCGGTGAGGGGACATGTTCTCATTTGAATGTCCGCCTTGAGCAATTTACTTTTGTTTTGCTGTAATTTTGGATAAATGCATTTACAGGAAGATTTAAACACACGCCAAGAAAGAAGGAGCCAACAGCAAAAAGGAAATCCCTGACAAGAATTTGTTGTTGCGGTGACGAAAGGCCAGTGACAGGGTGGGAAGCATTCACTTGTGTGACTGGTGTCTCTCCTGCCCGTGTGGTGCACACTCACTGTCTGTAGTTGTAGGCGATGTCAGCAAACTCCTTTCTCCGGGCCCGGTAAACAGGATCTTTGAAACCCTAGGAGGAAACAATTAAAATGTACTCCTCTTGCTTAGTGGGAACAATGCAGGGTTCAGGCCTTAATCCTGCTCCCCCTGAAGACCCTGGGAGCTTTGACACTGAATTCAGAGGGAGCAGAAAAGCGATCTTAGGCTAAAATCGAGATCCCAGCCCCCAGTGTGGACACCAAGTGCACAAGAGCAAGCAAGGAAGACTGCTTCTTCCCAGGCTGAATGACGGCTTTGCTGAAACAGCATATGCAGGCTGTTTCCACCCTCCCACCAGAGGGTGCGTGGGAGAGAGACAAGAGGATCCATTTAGCTGCAATTTCCCAGCCTTACTCACGTCCCGCCTCCTCCAGTTCTCTGCATGCTGCCAAGCAGGGGGCTCACAAAGAGAAGAACTTCACTTATTACCACACAGGGGGTGTGCACTCGGACGCATGGCTCCCCCACACATTCAAGCTAAAAATCTCACCTTTTATACATTTATTTCTCACAAGGTTCATCTCGCCAGTGAGGATTAGGCCTCACCTGAAGAAGAGCTCTGTGAGAGCTCAAAGCTTGTCTCTCCCACCAACCGAAGTTGGTTCAATAAAAGGGATTCCCTCACCCCCTTGTCTCTCTCATATCCTGGGACTGACACAGCTACAATGCTACATACTCCCGTCTTTGTCTGTCTTGTCTATTTAGAATGTGAGCTCTTCAGGGCAGGGCCTGTCTCGCACTATGTGTATGTACAGTGTTTAGCACAATGGGACCCCTGTTTCAGTTGAGACCTCTAAGTACTACTCCAATATACAAATAATAATGGTCATTTGGTTAACCCCAGCACAGTACAAGATGAAACAGGATCTGGGGACAACTGTGAAACAACCAGGTATCCAATACAGTTGTATTAGACCAAAGTGTGCTCATACACCAAAAGGGACCAGGTGATCTGAAAAGTTATTCGTTATAGAATAGAATGGCATAATAGAACATTTATCCTATTTTTAGCTCCCACGTCTAGCTAACCGATAGCACTTGAGTGACTCCTAGTTTTTCCTCCTGGCTGCATCCTAAATTCTACTATCCTTTCTTACTATACCATATGCCTCGTTGTGCTTTGATTTTATGAGAACATAGAGGAAACTGACCACTAGCTAAGGAGTTCTGCCAGCTAGAACTGAGCGGCTTCATTCACTTTAATACCGGAGTTTTATTTCTTTTTTTTTGCTTTCAAGAGCAACATTGTTTTACGACATGCTCATCTCCCAGTGCAACAAATGAGAAGGCTCTTGATTCAGTTTGCTGAAGTAATTGCATCTTCTTTCCTTCTGGTTTTCATGTGGCCGCACTGAATATCATGAATCATTGTACGTGATACACAGCGCGCTTTGAATTAAGCAATAGGTAGGGAATGACTAATCACCCCGTCTCAATTCCACTAATAGCTGCAATTCCTGCTGTGCTGCATGTACCTTGGTATGTTTTGACATGGAAATAAGTTGTTCTTTGGGAGGGGGTGGGAATGAAAAGTATATTTGCATCAAGAAAAATCTTTAAAACACTTAAGGATTCATGTGCTGACTAGCACAAACAAATGTGCTTTCATTATTTAAATTTCAAGCCCCTTGGAGCAGGGACCACTTCTTTTACTGTGCCTTGCATCATAAATGCCATATCGGCATGCAACAAATAATATGCAGGTATCAATCAACTATACATTCATTATAAAAGGAAAAAAAGCTCATCATATCCCCATACTGGAATATGGGGAGTGTCAACTTTCTGCGGTCCATGAAGTACAACATGGCCAAAAAATTGTTCGTCAAGATACCACTTCCCAGAATCCTTTGCATATGTGTAGTTGGGAGAAAGTGAGTGTGCCTGTGATGACTGGGGGCTCTGGAGAGCCCCAGCTGCCATAATGCTTGGGGCTGCTGGTATTTGCATAAGTTAGAGCAGCCTCCAGACTGATCTAATTTATGTCAGGGACCAGCTCTCAAACAACCCTAGTTATGGGAACTGCCTTTGTGCCTCCCTGGACCACTAGAGTTACCCTGGTATAGAACATGTGGACATGAGAATCCCAATACTATAAAGTTGTTCTTTGTTTAAAGGTAGGACTTGTTTCTTACAGGGTGGTCTGCATCCAGTTCAGCTCCATAACTTAGGATCTGATTGGCAAATCTGTCAAGCTCCTGGATAGTTCTCGGGAACCACGGCACTACAAAACAGAAAAGAAAATACAAATGAGCCTCTTTTCAGTTTAGCTTATCTTGGGGATCTCATCTAACTCTTTCCATTTCTTTGATATAAATATAAAGTAGGATAAACACTGGCTAGATTCACTGGTACTTTTCGGAAGTGTTGCATTGCACTAGTGAAGCAATGCAACAGTAAACCCAGCTTCATGAGCCAGTTAAATTAGGTTTATGGCTGTTTTGCATTGTTAGAGCAATGCAAAGCAGCTGGAGTAAATCCAGCTTTTGGCATTGTTTGCTTGTGATGGTTATTATTTATTGTTTTATTATTGATATTTCTCAAATCATCAGAACATAGGAATTACCAGACTGGATCAGACTCAAGTTCCATCTAGTCTAGTATCCTGTCTCTGACAGTAGCCAGAGTCAGCTGCTTCAGGGGAAGGGGGGAAGAAACCCTGCAAGAGGTAGATATGGAATAATCGGCTCCATGAAAGTCTCATCCAATTCCTAATCTCTGCCACTTCAGCTGGTTTAAGCCGTGAAGCAGTATACAAATTAAACAGCACTCTAGTACATCTGATTAGTGTTGTATCAATTAATGGACATTGCAATAACGCACAAGGTGTCATTTCAAACAGCAGGAACAGGTCTGTTTGTCCATTGCCCCGCTACTTTCAAATGCTTTTGCATCAGTGCACAGTAGGTGTAAAACGCTACCAACATTGATTTCAGAGTCTTTTGCATCCAGCTTGTACTCACACTGCATGAGCATGAGAACTACATGAGATGCAGGGCAATAGAGAATCAGGCTCCATTTCTTTTTATTTGTATCAGAGATAGAAAAATGGCACCCAAATCTCTTGAGAGCAATAACTATAATAGGAGAGGGGGTCATTACAGCTCTTGTGGTGACAACAGCACTGCCTTCAGCTTGGAAGGCACATGGAGCTCGCACTCTGCGTTCGTGTACCTTATTCTCTTCATGCAGGATACAAGTAACTGCCATTGATATCAATGGGGGGTCACTCATCCCAGAGGGCCCCGGAGTTTAAAGTGGAGGGTTCAAGCCCAAGAGCTCTCAGTGTTCTCTCTACCAGCTGAACTGCACCGTGACTTATATGAATTTAGCCTCTTTCATAAAGGTGCATCATTCATCCAAGTGAGTGCCTTAAAATGCTTCCCATGCCCTGCTTTCTGCCCTAAGGAGGACACTGCTGCTGAGTGAATCAATTTTATTTTGTTTAACATTTTGGTTTTTAGTTAATCTCAGCTGCCAGAAAAGCTCTGCACCAACAGCTCTGGAAAGGGAAGTCCTGTATAAATCCTCCAGGGTGCACAGCCAGCTGCAGCGCAATCCCTCCCACAGTGCCCTGCGGATGTTCCCCAACCCTGAGCCGCATGGACCACCTAAGGGATGAGAGGATCATTCCGTCTCCAGGCCTATTCAGTCCTGGGTCTCTCTGCTGAGACTCACAATAAAGAAGGCATTTATGGGGTAGGGTTTAAGTAATGCGGACACCTGCACATCGGAATTGGAGTCAGACCATTAGCTCATTTCACATAGGCCCCAGAAAAGCAGGCTGCATTTATGACTACAGGGTGGCATGCTTCCGTGACATGTCCATCTGTGCCAGGGCAGTGTTATGCACACTAATGTGAGGGTTGTGCTACTGTCTTTGTGCTTTTAGAATTCCTGCCGCAAACAGTTTCTACACATCAAAACAGGCTCTTTTTAGTGCGGTGTTTTGGTTTTTTCCCTTTAATGAAAGTGAATGTGGCTTTGTACTGCAGAAAGAAATGGTCTTTGGAGCCCCATGCTACCAACTTTAAGCAGATCTAAGAAGTTAGTCACTAGATGGCAGCAGCAGTAGCATCAAAATCTTGCCCGACTGAATGTATTTGTTTTTTAGCCATAGCTCCATTGTTTCTCTAGAAATATTCAACTACTTTCTGTCAGTAATTTGCACCCCCTCCGATTAAGTAAGCAAATGGGACTTTGTTATGAAATAACGGTTTTACTTGATACAAAAGTCCCTGTCAGCCGGCACACTAAAAGAAGGCAAACCTCATACAACAATCCTGGAGGATGCCATTATCTTCTACATTGATTGCCTTGGCAACTAAGCTACTGGCTTTATGGTCAGGAAACCTGGGTTCTGTTCCCAGCTCTGCCAGTGACCTTTTGTGTGAATCACATCACCATGCCCTGCCTCATTTTCCCCATCTGTAAAAAATGGGGGTGACAACACTCTGTAAAGTGCTTTGAGATTTTGGGAGGAAAAGTGCTACCATGAAACTACATGTATATTATTAATTATTGCCACCACATATTGCCATTCCCAGGGAAGCTCTAAAATCCATCAGATCTGAACACAGCAGAAAGCCCAGTGGTAACTGTGAAGCCTGCTATGCCCTGTGATGGATTTCAGTGTGTGCAGCTCTGAGACGATGGTCTGTTAGGGATTTTGGAGAGGAACAGGTATTCCTCTGAACTAGAAAGGTTTGGGTTCAAGTAATTGCTGTTCCAAGTGTGGATGAATTAGACAAAAAATAGTATCCAATAAACTTTTATTACCAAAGTTTTTGACAAACTGGTGACTTACAAACTGTGGGGCAGATTCATTCCTGGGCTGGCACCAGCCTAGGAACAGAAGGGAGGTGGTTTGTTTCTCTCTGCTGGTGACCAATATGGAGCGTTGTGAAGATCAGAGCAGCCCTCAGGACTCCCCAAACTTGTACCTTTGCATTAGTGGCCCCCAAGGGGCTCTTGCAGGGACCCAGAATCACCAGGACACAAGTCCACCCTAATCACACCACCTTCAACTACTCCCCTCTCTCCTCTGGCCTCACTTCACCTCACCTCCTGTGTCTGTCCCCCCGCATCCCACCGCCGAACACCCTCTGTGCCTGGGGCTCGTGTGGATTCAGCTCAGAGCTGCTGGAGTGGCTCTGTAGTAAGGGAAATCCCTGGTGAGGGAGGCTTTATACCTGCCCTATGGTCCATTTGCACCAACCTCACGGGTACAAAGGGGCTGCAGCAGAAGGCTGAAGAGGGCCCTGTGAGTCTTCTGTCAAGAGCTTAGTATTCTCAGCACCCAAGTCAATGGGAATTGAGGATGCTGAGCACAGCATGGGATTTAGCCCCTCTGCCCTATACATACAGTAGGAATCAGAGCAGTTAGAGATGTGAGAGAGCTGCTGGGGTATATTGTCCGGCAATGCAGTTCAGAAAGACCTTCCCCAACAATGCTAGCAACAGTTTAAAAATATCAAATCAAATTAGGCTCTCAATGAATTTGTCAAATATTTTGTTTGCTGACATGTTTTTGTGGGGGCTAGCAAACCAGACATGCTGGCTGTCTGCACTGTGGTTAATGAATTGCCAGAGCAAGCTGTTGCAACAGGGAGCCTCTGTGAAGACTTCAAGAGAGAACATGGGCTGATCAGTAATAAATATTGATTTGTCTGTAAGGAAACAGCAGCATTTATGGGCATGTACTGGACACCCAAGTGGTGACCAAATTAACATGGGGTCAAATGCGTAATAGGATGCTAATAAGCTATTTATATGTGGGGCAACAAAACGGAAGCCGTTAGGAGTTTCTGCAGAGCTCCTACATTCTGACCATTGTGAGGAGGGTCAAAGGCAGGTCTATTAAATTTATAGCTGTTCGAGGCACAGGTTTGGCCCTTTTTAAACAGATCCAAATGCTTTGGCCTGCCCCAGGGTTTAGCAAACAAGGCTCTTACAGAACCTCAGCCTCCAGCCAGTCTCAGAAATGCAATAAATTGTCTCTGTTTCCCCCTCACACACACACCCCAAAATAGACTAATATTTAATTCTTTTATTCCTGGGCTCCTAGGGGTCTGCAAATACTCAACTTGTTTCCCAAAAGAGTCATGAAGAGATGCACTGTGTTTTCGCAACAAATAACTCTAATTCCACAAAAGGCATTTGGCCAGATGAAACACTTCAGCGCATCACTCATGTGAAGAGCTAAAGTTACCTTCAGAATAATGACATTTTGCTAGCATTTGCTGAGCTACAGTTATATTATTGATCTAAATCTTTTATTCATTGCTTGAACAGGGGAAAATATAATATCTTTTGTCGTACAATTCAGAGAGCTTGGGGAAAAAAGAAAGTAAAAATGATAACTGAGCCCAAATGAAAAATCATCAGTACACTAAAGCCCCAGACCAGTAAAGCACTCAAGACTTGCTTCAAGTTAAGCACCGGATTCGTACATTTTCAGGCCAGAAGGGACCATTGTGACCATCTAGTCTGACCTCTGGCATAGCACAGACCATAGAATTTCACCCAGTGATTCCTGTATCAATCCCAGTAACCTGTGGTTGAACTAGAACTTACTTTTTTAGAACGATATCTCGTCTTGATGTAAAGATTTCAAGTGATGGTCAACATTCTCACTGTTCAAAATGTGATCTTATTTCTAGTTTGAATTCACCTAGCTTCAACTTCTAGCCATTCAATCTTGTTATGCCTTCATCTGCTCGATTAAAGACCCCTCTACTATCCAAGGTCTTCTTCCTGTACTTACAAACTATGCTCAATTCACCTCTTAGTCTTTTCTTCAATACACTATGGGTATGTCTACACTACAGCCAGTGGATGCTTCGTACATTGACAAAAGGAGCTTTTAATTCACTCCAACATAATAAATACTGAGAGGCAGTAGCTATGTTGACACAAGAATCCTTCCATCAACCTAGCCATGTTTATACCGGGAGTTAGGTTGACCTAATTACGGTGCTCAGGGCACGAAATTTTTCACAGCCCTGAGTGATATAGCTAGGTTGATCTAATTTTTAAGTGTAGACCTGGCCTAAATAGATCGTGCACTTGCTGTACAGCATGTTTTCCAATCCTTAAATCATTCTTGTGGTTCTTCCTTCTCTTCGTGTGCTCAGGGGCTATACTGGACCAAGTCCTAGAGGCACTCAACAAATGTCAGGCAAAATGAACAAAAACTATTTAAGCGCAAGCTGAAAAAAGCCCAGACTGTCATAATTAGATCAGTTGAGGAAAGAGGATTTCACTACCCTAGATGGCACACTGGTCACCAAGAAGCAACATAGGGAAATACTTCAAAATCACCTTTGCTACCCCTGTGGCCCTGCACTGAATTCATGTGAAGTGCACAGCTGAACTGAACCCATAATCTTTAGCAAGGAAAAATCAATCACATTTGTAGATGTAGATGGTGGATAAGGAATTGGCGCTATTGCCCTCTATTAAGTAAATTGCTTCTTTCTTGACACAGATATGTCTCACAAGGAGAAGATTTTCCTGGACTTTACTTGGCAATGAAAAAGGCCTGTGTCCGCATACAACAAAGGGGAGGTCGGCTTGCATGTGTGTGTGGGTGGATGGGTGTGGGTGTGGTGGCGGGAAGGGGGAAAGAAAGGTGATATTTTGTTTAGTTTTATATTTTTCAAAAAAGAACATCAGCAGATTCTGATGTCAAGATTCCAATGTTAAGATCTATCAGGGATGATTTTAAAGGGCAAGTCAATGTAGACATTGTCATGGCAATGCTTGTTATTTATTAACACTGTCATATATTTGTTTAAGGGACAAATTCAGTCATTATGTCTGCAGCGTGGTCTCTCATTTCACTCTGAACCCGCGTATGCTTTGCTCTCTAATCAGCCTGAGTCCACAGGTGCTGGAGCTAGGGGTGCTATGACACCCTCTGGCTTGAAGTGGTTTCCATCAGATACAGTTCAGTTCAATGGCTCTCAGCACCCCACTATACGAATTGTTCCAGCACCTCTGCCTTAATCTGACTTTTAGGACACAACCCTCCTGAGATTTAAGCTCATGGTGGGCCCTTCCACTAATGGCAAGTATTGAAAGTGAAAAGGGAATCAAGAACAGAAGAAATAAAAATAAAATGATTCATTTGATCTTTTCTCTCTCTGATGATAAATTGTTTCCACTAACAAACAAAAACAGTCATTCCTTCAATCAGAAGGGATCGAATTAATCTCTGCTGCTCTGAAGTCAATAGAGATTAATCTGGCTCAAGAAGACCTTTTGATGAACTTGGAAACATGAAGTGAAATCCTAGCCTTGATAAAATCAATAGGATTTTTGCCACTGACTTCAAGGGAGCCATGATTTCTCCTGTGGTCTTTTTGTTGTTGTTGACGTTTTGAGCTCTACCCTCTGCTTGAATCAGTGCCTACAAAACCTTTAATCACTGCTGCTCAGCAAAAACTTGCCAGGGTCTGTAGCTTTCTTCTGAAAATATAAATTCAGAAAAATGACGTGTGACAAAGAGAGAATATCTGTGATAGCAGGTGTAGCTGAGGTCTGGCTGGAGTAATTAACTCCTGGAGGGAGGCCTCTTTTTTTTTTTTTTTTGGAAGATAAAATTAGGGAAGGAAATGAATCATTAGGTTGAAAACAGAATGTTTGTGCTAAATAAAGTAAGTAAATAGGTCAGTAGGCTAAGAAGACAGAATGTCCCAGACAACTAAGAGGGGAAATACACAGAGGACTGTTTACTATGAACTAGATAAGGGATTGGTTCCTGCAAAGTAACCAGATCGATCCAAAAATGTGTGCTGCAACATATAATAAATGCAATGAGATGTGTAATGTATACAAAGGGAGGAGGTTTCTGTGTAACTTTGGAGCTGTGACGTACCCTGCATCCATCCCCCCTGCATTTGAGACTGATCAGCTCAGCATGGCACTGCTGTGTGCCCAGTAAAGATACCCGAGTGACAAAGGCGGGAGTCGAACTGAGTTCTTGGGAAGCCGAGTGGAAAGAGGACTTGGAGGGAATCTCAACAGTAGTGCTTATAGCTCCCTGTCCAGGCATAACCCTTTGTCTCTTGTCACTTGAATGGAGAGAACTGACCCCAGAGAGTATTTGCTGGAGGCTTCTTTCCCCCAAATGTAATGTCATGGGTCAGGCACAAAGGAGATGGTAAAAGGATTACCAGGATTCATCTCGGGCAGATATTAATGCCCTTTTATGTTGTTCCAAGGAAGGAAGAGGAAGAGCCAGACCAAAAGCATTTGAAGACAATCCTAGCTTAAATCCTATTAAAATCACGTCTGGTATCTGAAGAGGTATTTAGGTATTAATAAAAGTGGGAGTCGTGGTTTCTTTATATGAATCTTCTGGGCCACGTCTTTATCCAGGCCCCAATCCTGTGAGGTGCTGAGCACTCTCAACTCTCACTGATTTTAATAAGAACGGACGATACTCAGCACCTCCCAGGATCATGCCCTACTTCCCTAAAAAGGCAAAACTACCATCAACATTGCTGGGAGTTTTGCCTGCGTGAGGATGGGTTGAGCTTGCGCCCACTGAAATGGGTAGAAAAAACTCTCCCTGATTTCATGGGTGGGGGGAGGGGGGCGATTGGACACAAAAGATTTGAGTGAGATTATGGCGGCAAGATTATGCCTATGAGGGGGAAGATTGTGCCTGACTCTTACATGGGTGCACTGTGGGGGAGGAGATGCAGAAGAAGGCTTCCTCTCCTCTTCCCACCCATCATCCAACCTGCATAAGGGTCAGATAAAGCTGCTGCCCCTGAGCTTGAAGGAGGATACAGCCTGCTCCCTCCATCCACCAAATGGTGCACAGTGCTCCAGCAGGAGATGGAGAGAGATTGGAGGCTGATCAGCCTGTAGAGAAGGACCAGTGTGGAAGAGATGTTGGAATGATTTCCACTCTCTGAAGGGGCACAGTAATAGATCCCTGCCAGGGAAATCAGAGAAGAAATCTACTTCCTTGAAGCAGAATTTCTCCCTCTGCTTGCCCATGGGTTACATTGCTTCACACCAAGCATAGTGCTGGACTGTGCCTCATTGGCCTTAGTCCTTAGTAAGGGCTGCAGGATTTGGTTCGTTGTTATTAACCAAGATTTAAGGGTGTTTTGGGGGTGGTGATGGGGGGTGTTGGAGTTAGCCAGGACAATCAACACTTCATTCGTTATTTTGTTACTTGGTCCTTTATCAGCAACTTTTATGCATTAAACACAATTGAGAATATGGTCACACTTTGCATGAAGGGTCCATTTAACAAAGAGTTCATAAATGACCAACAGATGTTTTAAGAACTGGTAAGTCAATTGTTAGAGAGTCCAGTGGGTCAACTGGTAGCTTATAACCATCTGTCATACTTTCTGCTGATGGGTTTATAACCCATCTATAACTCATCAAACTACTCATATCTGTAAGATGCTGATAATCATAACACCTCTTACGATAATTAACTCTTTATAAACTACTTCTATGTGGATCCTTACTATGAAGGGTGACTAAGAAGGGCTCCGCTCACTTTGTATTGTGGATTCAAACAATGTGCATTATCTTATTTCACTGCACTGCCTGTCTTCACCTGACTGCTTCCCTGTAAGGGTGATCAAGACATGGCAGCTTTGAAAAGTGATGCGAGTTCTTCATCCAGGGAGCATAAAGGGCAGGCAGTTGCAAATGTCTCTAGGCCACTGTTCTAAAACCCGCCTTAGTGACTTAGAGGAGCCAGCCCTCCTTAGGAAGGTGAAAGAGAATCTTTCTCTAGATAGCATTCATTACCAAAAATGCACATTAAGGGCTTGATTCAGTTAGGTGCTGAGCATTCTGGCATTGCTCCAGCAAAGCACTTAAGCACATAATTCATTTTAAACACATGAATAGTCCCATAGATTCCAATAGAATTACTCACATGCTGAAAGTTAGGTATATGCTTAAGTAACTTGCTGAATCTGGGTTTTACGTAACTTGCTGGAGGTTGACAAGACTAAAGACATTGTGCATGTCAAGCACAGGCCACCATTAAAAAAAACAAGTTTGAATGTAGGTAATGTTTATAGGAATAGAGTAATACCCCTTTAAATAGTTTGTGAGCCCTCCAATGGTGTTCGCTGTGTTCTAGAAGCCACCGGAAATCAGTCACAGTGGCAGTGTGCATGTAGCTAGGCTTGGCATGTTTGTGCATCTTTAGCAAACGCAGTCATTTGGAATGCACCTGTGCCCGTGTGGTTTCTTCATATTGTTTGTGTGTGTGAGCAAAAGACAACACTAGATGAATTTGGTAGATTGCTGAAAGCTGTGTATGAAAATACAGCCTTTTTGAACAGCAGGGGCACTGTTCATTTGCAGAAAATGAACATGCCTACAACTTTTTGGAATGGGAGACAGGACTATAAAAATGCTTTAATCAGTAAGTAGCCCCACTGAGGATAAGTGTTTGCAAGGCTGGCTCCTTAATAACCATTCACCTGACTACATATAACTACCGTAGTTACATTAACCAGTTACTACAGCCCTGCTAACTAAATATCAGTGAGTGCCAGCAAACAGAATATTGAAAACCGCTAGGTGATTATGTATTCATATTCCAAAAGATCCAAGAGACCTCAGCCAGAATCAAGGTTGAGCATACTAGGTACTGCATATGCACATAGAGTGTATGGGTATGTACAACACCTAGTATAATCAAGAGCTTGTCCCAAAGAGCTTACACTCCAAATAGACAAGACAGATAAAGGATGGAAAGGGAAACACAGGTACAGAGGTCAACCAGAAAACTGCTTTACTGAAGGGAATGAAAGTAGTTCAAAAAGGCCGAGTGGTTTAGGCAGATAACACACAATTTTATAGTCAATATTATCACAGTCAATATTTTCTTACCAGCATCTTTCTTCTTTTTACGTGAAAGCTCATGAACTGTTGCTCCAATTTCATTTCTCAAAGTTGCGATGATATCCGTGAGAAGAGGAATATTCCTGCTATCCAGGTTTATGAAGAATTCATATTCATCTTTGTTGACTCGGGAAGGTCTGGACTCAATGTGGATCAGGTTTATACTTTTTTCCTATGAGAAAAGGATAATAGGTTGAATGTTGATACTATATGCTATAGGTGGAATCACAGCATGCTGAAATTCACCTGTTGGTGAATGGTCCACACAAGGCCCTCTACACCACAATAATCTCCAGCAGATGGAGCAGTTATATAGGGGTGAATTTCACCTCTATACAACTGAAATTCCCCCCACCCACCCGTGCAGAGTCAATGCAGGGCCTGCGCACAACTAAGTCCCTCAAAATAGGGCTTAAGTTGGATTTAAGTGATGCATAGGCTTTCTACAGAGGTGAATTTCACTCCCGGTACACCAGGAACAAAAGCTGCACGGAGGCTCTGAATATGCCTATGCGGAGAAGAGCATTTACTCAGAATCAACACAGGATTCAAGAATTCTTTCCATGAAGAATAAAGAAGTGAGAATAAACAAATACATTGAAGTTATTTGCAATTACAATGAAATGAGGTTTGGAAAAGCCAGAAGCGGGGCATCTTGTGATCCAAATCTCAAGGGGCTGAAAATGAAAAGCCATTATATGCCCTCGCTCTGTGCATGCAGTTTCCTTGCCTCATACCCTACTGCAAGTTTATTGCTGTGATTGCAGGGATAAGCAATGGACAATTCGTTTAAACCTGCCTACCTACTCTCTTTGCTCCTGCATTGCAGCCAGCCAGGGGAGCAGCTCAAGTGCCATCTGCTACAAGCTCAAGTATCTCTGCTCCTGCAACACTCAGCTCAGCCCTGGAAGCACATGTGGCATGGCTCCAAAATGCCACTGCAAGCCACCCAGGGCAGCATGTAGCATTCAGGTGAATGGGGAAACTGGAAGGGGTAACAAAAGTCAAGAGAGAACAGGAAAGAATAAAAGAATAGGAAGCCACTCCCACTAAAAATACATAAATTAAAAAAAAATCACAGAAGAAAAAACAGATGAGAAGGAAAAGAGAAAATGGAAACCGACTAGGACAAGAGCGAAACAAAGGCGAAGAGACAGCAACTGTCATAGGAAACAGCAGAGGAAAGGGCCCCTATTGGCCAATCCGACACTAGGGGAACATCAACAAAAAACTGCACATCAAGAACCACTGACCTAACAAGCTAAATAGATACAATATCTGATTAATAACATCCAAGATACACATTCCAAAGTGTTTTTGAAACACTTCACAGTGTTTCAGTATCTCTGTCCAGTGAGCAGGACTGTTGTCTCTCTCTTAGAGGGGGCTGAATCTTAGGTAGAGCTGGTCAGAAAATGTTTTCTCTCCCATGGAAAAAAGTTTGAAGACAGTTTTTGTTGTGGACCACATTTTTCTCCAAAATTCTTCTGGTTTTCATCAAAAACCCAGAATGTGCAGGGTTTGGTTTCTTGAGAAAAACCAGAAAAACGTAGTCAAAAGCAGAGTTTCTCCCAAGGAAATTTTGATTTACCAAAAAAACAAAACAACAAAAAAAACCCCATGTTTACTTGAGAAAACCCTTGAACAAAAAATGTCAACCAGCTCGAAAAGTAGGATCTAGGCCTGCATTCCTTATCCAGGCATATTCCCACTGCAGCCATTGTTGCTATAGGGTGAGGCCCATAATGAAATTCTGCCTCCCAAAAGGAAGCTGAGACCCATGAAGACAGAGAAAATTCAGGTTTGGGCCTGTCTGCTCCTTGGTTTTGCTCTCCTTTGCTCCCTTTTGTGCTGCATAGTGCAGCGAGGCAGCTGGCCATCAACAACACAGAAATACCTTGCTACAAAAGGCAGTTCAGAATCTGGTAGGAAGAAGCATGCACGGCACTCTTCTGTGTCTGGAGGGTTGAAAGCCGCTGATTACCTTAAGTTGTTTTGCTAAATACCAGTACAGTAAGTTGAAAAGTTCAAAAGCACATTCACCAAAGGCTGCTCATGAAAGATACTCCCCAGTTGTGCTGTCTGAATGCAGAGAATGCGTTTAACTGTGCTAAGCCCCAGGGACAATTTGTTTTAGAGCCATAAAATTCTGTGTAGCACACAGACCTTACTTTGTATTTGCTTTTTAGCTAGATGGTAAGAGATCATTACAGTGCTCAAGACTTAGAAGTTAAAATTACTTGCCACTAGATATATTTTTTGACAGAGACCAGAGACAGTGGGCTATACTCTGCTGTCAGCTGGGCCATGGTAAATCCACAATAACGCCAACGAGGTCAATGCAGCAAATGAGGGTTTACACCAGGGGCAGAATCTGGACCATTAGGCCTTATTCTCCTTTGCCCAGACAACTGTGCAAAATGGCAGTAAAATGCCACCAAACCAGAATGCTCTATTTACACTGAGAGTAACATTTTACGTTCACTGTGCACAGGAGCAAACGATTGCACAAAGATTTATTGTTCTGAGATTGTACAGCACCTAGCACAATAGGTCCATGTCTGGGTGGGGGTCCTAGATACTACCGTAATAAATAACAAAAAAAAGAACAAGGGAGTGCAGAATGAAGCCCACAGCCTGTACTGATTGGCAGGAGGGAGGGACAGAGGAGTATTGTAATAATTGGGACTACAAATTTACCCTCGTTGTAGGCTCAACTGTAAAAAGTATGTAAAAGTTCATAAAATGTCACAACAACCTATAGTAATAAATGTTGATGAAAATAGGTGCAAAAGGGAGACAAAAAACTGAATTAGTCCAATAAAAAGGCCTCCTGCTATAACTCAAGGACTATGTTAAAATCATGCTTGGTAAAAATAGAAGATGTGGAACTGGAAACTAATGAACCAAAATTGGTGTGTCAGATATTAGGCCTGATTGGTGGACAAAAAAAAATGAAGGGATGGGCTATTCCACCCTCCATTCCCTTTGTGGGTCCTTATAGAAAGAGACTTTGAGGGAAAAGAACAGAACAGATGAATGCTACGAGTAAGCTTCATGATCATGGCTGCCTCTCCCACTGTTTCTGGGACTCAGGATCTTCATCATCCTGGTCCTGAGAGATGTCCTGAGCAAACCGGGCCAGAGAGGGAGACCCAGATGACATCACCACCCGTACCAACTCCAGCTGAATCCCAAACGACACTTGAGATGAAATGGGATCAGACTTTAAAAACAGCAGCAGCTTCATCTCACGTCAACTAACTTCTCTTTCCCCCTAAAAGGACAGTCATTACCAGCTTTGATACCATTTAAGAGACTGTCAAACCGAGGGGTGGGCGGGGCGGGGTGTTCCTTCTAAAAAAGGAAAGGGAACAAGCCTTACTTAATGCTTTACATTTCAAACGCTTTAACTCTTTTCCCTTCTTTTCTATATTGTTAATAAAAGGTTAAAAAGGATGTTTAATGGTGGCTTTGCCATGGTGCTAAGCAGACTGACGTCGCTGCATACCAAACCCTGAACCTTGTTAAAACTGTTTAATGTTAGACAGTGACTGTGTTGCGTTAACACCTTTGGCCCATATGTTCCATCTAAATGAATACAACAGGGGCCACATAGCAATGCTTTGTCCAGGAGCCCTGGGAGAACAAACAATGGAGCAGGCAGCCAGCACGCGTGCCACTCTAGTGACAGGTCAGCCCTGCTACACTGGCCTCACTCCCCTTGAAAAGTCTTGAGCCTGGGGTGCAGGGTCTTGAAACCCAAAGGGACCCGGTGCCAAGATGCAGGACTAGGGTGGGAGGGCTGTTTTATACCTTCTCCCTGTTTTATCCACCCACACTGATGCCAGTGCATTCTGGCCTGATGTAAAAAGCAAAAGGAGCTATTTTGCTTATTATAGTAGCCTGTCCTCTCAAGTTCTACTCATCCAGCTGTACCACTAATGCACAAATACAGAGGAAATCCCTATTGATCTGCTATCGTGTTGTACAGCAGATTGTTTCTAGTTCACCAGAGAGGCAGAAGAGGCTCATGCGGGTTTCTTTTGGTCAGACTAAAAGAAGACGTATACTCACCAAATCAAATTTCCACCTCCTTTACACCAATGTAATTCTGGAATAACTCCACTGAAATCAAAGAAGCTATTCTGAATTTGCATCAACATAAGTGAGACCAGGTTCTCTCCCCCTTCTCTGCACTTCTACACTGATCCAGGAGTAGAGGCCAGAAATTGGTCACATTTGGCCATCTGATAATTCTTCAGTCCTTAGCTTGTATAAATCTGGCACAGGCAGCTCCTTCTCCACTCCCATCACCTCTGTACATACTGTATGTCAGGAACAGATGGGAAGGGGAGGGGGGGGGACAGTAATTATGCTTGCCTGGCAGAGTTTAAATCAGGCTCTACAATGCCCTAATCTGTACAGGGCCAGCCATGAACCAACCTCAGAAACACAGAGGGGCAGCCAGCTGTCTGGTAGCCCACTCTCCACCAGTCTGCTTCATGCTCAGCAGACACTGGACATAGCAGAGACTCTGGGGCAGAATGCGGTCCAAGTGATCTGAAATTCTGATGCATTAAAGGCCCATGGTGCTTAAATTACTCAGGGTCAAAATTCACCCTGAATTACAATCTGATGTCAGAAAGCAATACCTTTATTTCAAACTATCATCTGAAAAAAACAATGATTGAAGGTGTAGCTTTTGAACTGTATATATCCCATCATGAATTATGTAACTTTGCCTATCCTTAGCAATATATACACACACAATTAGCTGTTCACATTTTATTTACATTTCTATTAAAACCAGTGCTCTTAACTACAAAAACATCTGTTACTGAGTACATTGTAAACAAAACTGATCTGTATTTCTTATGTCCATTTCTCTTACAATCAGTAGTTTGCTCAGAGGAACACAATACAGAAAAACTGTTCTTATAAGACAGTTGCTTGCATAGTTGTTGTAGCCATGTTGGCCCCAGGTTTGAGTAAGAAGAGTTGGGTGAGGTAATATCGTTGACTGGACCAACTTCTGTTGGTGAAAGAGACATGCTTCCTTCAGCTCTGAGGAGGGCATTCTTCACTTCCTGTCCTAAAATCTTATATAATGCAAAACAACAGACTCGAGGGTGTAGTGTTATGTACTCACAAACAATTTTTGACTTTCAC